TAACTTCTTTGGATCTGTGGATTGTAGTATGATTACCCTGTACTATAGACTAATAACCACTTAAAAGTGAGTATATACCATGTGTGTCTTTCTGGGTCTGGGTTACCTCAGCCAGGATGATATTTTTCTAGTTCCATCCATTTGCCTTCAAATTTCATGATTTTCTTGTTTTTAATAGCCGAGTAGTATTCTATTGTGTAAACATACCACAATTTCTGTACCCATTCCTCAGTTGAGGGACATCTGGGTTGTTTCCAGGTTCTGGCTATTACGAATAAAGCTTCTATGAACATAGTTGAGAAAGTGTCCTTGTGGTATGGTGGAGGCTCTTTTGGTTATATACCCAGGAGTGGTATAGCTCGGTCTTGAGGTAGAACTTGTTTCAATTTTCTGAGAAAGCATGCCATGTACTTGTAATCACAGCATTCAGGAAACCAAGGCAGATGGATTTCTGAGTTTAAGACCAGATAAAACAAGTGCTAGGGCACATGGGGATATACAACCATGTCATCTCAAAAGAGACAAAACCAAACCAGGAAAATTGAAACCCGACATATCAGGGAGAGAGCCGAAGGAGTGGCTAGACTGATGGTGTTAGAAGAAGCTGTTTGAGAGAGAAAGAGAAGGCTCTTCTGAGTAGGGAACACCAGCCCCTAGTGACATGAGGCCTGGACCATGTGGACCTCTGAGAAAGATGCTGGCTTCTGTCATATCCCAGGCATGGTGAGGAGAGTTAAGGATGCTGTCTAGTTTGAACACTCACTCCTGATTTGTCTGGTGTGCTGAAGTGCCGGGTAGCACGCCCAACAAACTCAGAGGTCCAATAAGGTTTCAGGAACCTGATGCCCCTCCAGAGTCGCCCACACAGACAAAAGCCTGCCAAGCCTTTTCTTCCATCTTCTCACTGCTCAGGCACAAGACTGGGAGCCTGGCTCCTATGGGAATTTCCAAGTCACACAGGAAAGTTTTGATTCCTCTTTTCGGTTTGGTTCTTCCTCAGCATGAGGGTGTGATGGTTGGGGCTAAGACAGGGATAGAGAGTGGCTCATCAATGAAGTGCCAGGACTCTTAGAGAGACATCTAAGCTTTTCTTCATGTGACTGCACACACACACACACACACACAGAAAATTTTCAGGAACTGCCACTGAAAGGAGACAGTTTTGCTTTTACTTATGATTATCTCTCTTGTCTCGTGTCATCAGATGTTAAAAATCTGCTGAAAAATATTGCACTCTATGGGGTAGGAGCAAGCAATTTTGGGGAGGGAATATCCCATTATTTGGGGCCCAGAGAAATGAGCTGTTTCATGTTTCAGTGTTTATCAGGTTCGAGTAAGACCAGAGTGCAATAGGGCCAATGTGATCCCTGAGTGAGGTCAGAGCAACCAGAGGGTAAGATTTTGGGCAGGCAGAGGGAGAGCAGACACCCCTACAAAAGGCTTGATGTCCTGGGATCCCCTGTGTTTATGTCACTTAATTGAATTTATTTTTGCAGTGCTCTGGAATGGGCAGGTATCATGTCCCCCTTTTACAGATGATCTAAAAAAAAAAAAAAAGAAAAGAAAAGATGTATCTTGTCAAACAGCTGAGCTGAGACTAGAATCTAAGTCAAGGGGAGCACATAGTCTCTGCTCTGTTATGCATCTTTTAGCTTTCCTGTATCCCTTAATGGGTCCAGGTCATAACTTGATCTTTAGCTACAATAGCCCTCTGCAGGCTTATCTTTTTTACTCCTGTCAGTTCTGACCCCGGTAGGAACTGGTGGCGTTCAGCAGGGTGGTCTAAAGGGGAGGCTGAGAGTTCAGCTGCCTCTAATTAGGAGCACAAACACTGTTCCTGGATGGCTGGTAAGACAGGAAGGCGCAATTGCCCCTGATCTTGCTTTCCAAGAGACAGTGGGACTGGCAAGGAGGCTGCACACATGGGCATCTTTGTGGCCACGGGGGCACAAGGCAAGCTGGGTGAAGATGATGGCACTGGGTTGGGGGCCTGAGGTCTTGAGCCTTAGAGGGACATTGCCTCTAAGCCACAACTAAGAGGTCTACACAGACGGGGAATTTTGTGGTATTGATATGTTTTAGGAGCTAATGAGTTGGAGTTTAGATACTGAAATGTTGGTTTTTGTGGCTATACTGATGAGGAAACATGCCTGATTTTTTTTTAATTTTTTGTCTTATATGGGTGGGTTTTTGTATACATGTATATGTGTGCACCATGTAGGTGCCTGGTACCCAAAGAGGCCAGAAGGTGCCAGAATCCCTGGACCTGGAGTTATAGGTATTTATGAGCCACCTTGTGGTGCTGAGAATTGAAGAGGAGTCCTCTGGAAGAACAGCCACTGCTCTTAACACTGGGCCATCTCTACAGCCCAAGGGATTGAGTTTTCAAATGGAACTCACTTAGCAAATCCACGCTGTAGGATAACTACATGCACAGATTATAGACAGCCAAGAGAAAGCCCGGACAGTGGGGCCATCTGGTAGCTAAGAGGGCAGATATAGTCTACAGTCCATAGGCCACAGCTGTGGCCCTGTGAGTCATTCCAGCCTGAAACCATGAGGTCAGTCCAAGCCTGGAGAGAAAGGGACTCTTTCTTTTTTGTTTCATTTTTTAGTTGTGTTCATTTGTGAGACAAGACCTTTTGTAGTGTAGGCTGGCCTTGAACTCCTTATAGTCAAGGATAACCTTGAATTCCTGGTTTTCCTTCTTCTACCTCCCAATGTTGGGATTACAACCCTGTAGACTCTTTCTTTTTTATTGATGACTTATTTATTTGTATGTGCACACATGGTACATGCATAAAGATCGAAGGGCAACTTGCAGGAGTTGGCTCTCTCTTTCCGACATGCGCATCCCAAGGAACAAACTCAGGGTGCCGGGTTTGTTCACAGTTGCCTTTATGCACTGACTCTTTCTTAAAGTGGAAAAGCTCAATGACGGGGTGAGGATGGAGGAAGGCAGTGTGGGCTCAGTTATTCTGGAACTGAATCCTAAAACTGGGGGAGGCAGTTACCTTGGTTTCTTTTCCTGTGACTATAATAAGATGACCAGACAAAAGTGATTTGGGGGAGAAAGGGTTTGTTCTGCCCACAGCTTCCAAGTATAGTCCATCGAGGCAGGGGAGTCACAGCAGCAGGAACAGGAAACAGCTGGTGCTGTTACATCCTTGTCAAGAGAAACAGAGTAGGAATGCTTGTGTTCAGCTCTCCCTTTATACTATCTAGGACCCAGCTTAAGGAATGGCACCACCCATGGTGGGCAGGTCTTCCTGCCTCGATGAAATCAGGATGACTACCCCATAGGCATGGCAAAAAGCTGGTTGAATGAAAATGAGGACATGGCTGCTCCAAATATGGTCGAGAAGAAGCTTTTTATTGTAGATATGAGGGAAGGTACTGCCAGAGGCATCTGGAAGAGTACAGAGGATAAAGAGAAAGTAGCAGCAAAATAGACTGGGGCCATGAGAGGAAAGAGGGAGGAGGAAGAAAAGAGACAGGGACAAGAGAGGAGATTAGGAGAGGGAGAGGAATAAAGAGGGCAAGGTAGGAGCCAAGGACCAAGAGAGAATGTGCCTGAAGTGGCTGGATTATAAGGAATCAGAAGCTGGGGAAGGGAAGGAAAGCTCAGAAGCTGGAGAGGTGTAGGGTAGGGGCAGAGGGATGAGAAAAATGCTGAGAGGAGCCAGGACTCTGTAACAGGTACTTGCAATACTGAGAGAGCCAGGTGGCCAGCATGGACATGGTAAATAGGTAGCACAGTTATGAAGAAGCATCTGAGCAACTATGTTCACAGCAATATTATCTACAGTAATAGACAAGAGGTGGAAGCAGCCCAGATGTTCATCAGCAGATGAGTAGATTTATCAAGTGGTGTGTGTGTGTGTGTGTGTGTGTGTGTGTTTTACAACATACACATTGGAAAAAGGATATATAAAATATATATTATATTATATACACAGACATATGGATAGATAGATAGATAAGGAGAGACAGATTATTTGGGACTGTCATTTCATGTGGCAAGCAACTCTTGTCATATAACACACAATAAGTAAGCCTGGAAGACATAATATTAAGTAAAGCAGGCCAACTACAAAAAGACCAGCATGTCTAACGTAGATTCATAGAGGCAAATAGTAGCATGGTGGCTCCAGGGATGAGGCAAATGGAAAGCGAGTTTGTTGATTAATGGGTACAGAGACTCATGACACATACGAACAGCTCTGGAGATCTGTCTCACAACAACAGAAGATATTTCTCCCTGTAAACTTAAAGATGGTCAACACAGTAAATTTGATGTATTTCTTTCAGGGCTGGCCTTCAAACCCAGGATCTTGTACATGGTATACCTGTGCCCCACCATTTCGCGACATCCCCAGCCTTTGGTGTTTTGAGACAGGGCCTCCCAATGGAAGACAAGCTGGCCTCAAACTTGCTATTCTCCTGTCTCCCAAGTGCTAGGATTATAGGTATCTAACACAGATGTGGTTGTATACGGTTCTTTTCAACTACAACAAAAATAATAAATGATGACTAGGTGGTAGTGGTGCACAGGCAGGAGGAGCTCTGGTCTACCGAGCGAGTTCCAGGGCAGCCAGGGCTACACAGAGAGACCCTGCCTCAAAAGCCCCAAAATAAATCAATAAACAAATGAACCCCACCATTTTATACAATTCAATATACAATTAAACAAATAATCATAAAAAAGTGTTGAGGCTAGGTGTGGCTGGGCACATCCAGCAGGAGGGTCTTTTGAGTTTAAGGCCAGCCTCGTCTACACAGCAAGTTCCAGGACAACCAGGGCTACACAGAGAGACCCTATCTCTAAAAACAACAAAACAAAAAACAACAAAAACAAAATAAGTATTGAGGCAAAAAAAAAAAAAAACAAAAACCAAACCTCATTCTGGAGTCACTCATCGTGATTAGTCACTTTATAGAACATGAGAATTCGATGGCTCAATAAAGATAGAATTTTTTTCTTACTTGTCTTTTCCTAGGTATTGACCAAGTGTTCAAGTCAGTGAATGAAAAGGTATCATTGTCCTGTGGTTACAACTTTTCCTTTGATGAGCTGGCCATACACCGAATCTACTGGCAAAAAGATGACAGAAAGATGGTGCTGAGCATCAGCTCTGGGGATAAGAAGGTGTGGCCAGAGTATAAGAACCGGACTTTATGTGACATCAGTAACAACTTCTCGCTCATGATCCTGGGCCTGCTCCCCTCAGACAGGGGCATTTACGAATGTGTCGTTCAAAAGAAAGAGAGAGGGGTTTATCTCCTGAGACACTTGAATTCTGTGGAGCTGTCCATCAGAGGTTGGTAAGATTCTCTGGTTTACTGATTGTAATGTCCTTATAGGCACATGTCTATTGATGTAGGTGACAATTTTCACAAAGAATGGGTCTCACTTCAATTCTGAAAGCTGAATATCCAGTTTTATAGAAAACCAAATGGTTCAAGGTGGAAACATCTATCAATGTACTTTTCTCCTACCAGAAACAATCCAAGGCCACAGAAGCCATCACAGGCACTATACTGGTTTGAAATGCCTTCTGACTTGCAGGACATAACTTTGATGTTATGTGGCTGTACTGTGAGATGCATTGGAGAAGTAACTATCCTATTCTGGGTAATAAGTTAATTAGGTCACTTTTTTTTGTTTTACTTTTCTGAATAATTTGTATTCCTGCCTTTATTCATAAGATATCCTTAACTTTTCCACTAAAAGTGGCCAAAACTTGGGTTAACTGAGCTACAAAAGGCTGATCCTTTTAACTGTGTGTGTGTGTGTGTGTGTGTGTGTGTGTGTGTGTGTGCGCGCGTGTGCGCGCGCGCACGTGCTTACAGCAGCCTAAAGAAAGTGTTGGATTGCCCGGGAGCTGAAAGTTGTGGGCCACCCAATGTGAGTGCTGGGAACTGAACTCATGTGCTCTGCAAGAGTAAGTTAAGAGTAGGTACTATTAACTGCTTACCCATCTCCCCAGTCCCAAAGGGCTAATCTTTAGATGGTTCACAGACTTGCAGGAGCTTCAGAGTAGTTCCTCTGAGCAGGATGTCTCGTGGAAGGGTGAGGAGACGAAGCTGAGGCTCTTGTGAGCTCAGTCAGACATGAAAAGGTGGCCCTTGTAGAGCTAACTGTTTCTCAGAAGAGCAGAGAGCAGAAATGAACAAACATGAGTTGTGACTGAGAACGTAAGGTGTGAGGATTTGCTCCTCCAGGGTAGAGCCCAGGATGTCTGGTTAGAAGAAACAATGTGACCTTTTTATGTTGGCTAGCAGGTAGTAATTTGATTGAATGTTCTACGGTAGGAAGTAGAAAATAATAATGCCAACCATAAACAGCTCAGGAAAACATCCGACTGGCTTAGAGGCTAGCCTCAAACTCAGAGAGATTGACCACCAAGGAGTTTTTGCTGTTGTTGTTTAAAATGACTTCCCCTCCAACCAAATTCAGGGGTTTCCCTTTCTATCCACCTGTATTTGCCCTTCCCTCATTTCTCCCGGTGTCACTCTGCGGTTTTAGAAGCTTTCCTTTGCAGGCTGATTTAAAGGAGAGCCTCTACCTAAAACATCCTGTGTGTCAGGCTCCATGCTAAGTAATGGTGCCATTTCATTCCTTCAGCCCTACAATGTACAGACCAATCCATGTACAGACTAACACTAAAATCCAAGTAAGAGGCCCACAGCCACAGACACACCTCAGTTTAAGAACTGCTCTTGGTGCTACTGAGCTCCATTCACAGGAGCTCCGTAGTACTCAGTCTTCTAAGAGTTCAGTGGATGGACTGATGTGGAGGGTGTGGTTGACACATGTGTCTGTGGAGGCGGAACCTAAATTCCTGAAGTCTCAGAGTGAGAAGAAGTGGTTGGGAAGTTTCCATGCTTGGCTCTAAGCCTGCTTTAGTATCTCACCGGAGGTCAAGCATATAGAGGGAGTCAACTCCAGAGGCCTCCTTGTCCCTTTAAACTGTCAGAGTAGCAAGGAATTAATAAAATGTAGTGGTTGGGACTGCAGATTTAATACTGTACGTTTTGGACATAGTTTTACTTACAAGCCCAGGCTAGCCTCAAACCCCTCCTACCTCAGCCTCCAAAGTACACCTGACTACAGAAGAAAGGGAGCGTTGAAGATGGACTCAGGGTGCTGGGTGAGTGCTGAGACTTAGACATCCAGGAGAGGCACGGCCGTAAGGGTCGGTGCGTATGGGCTCCCGTCTGCTCTCTGGCTCTCAGGTCGTAGGGCGGCTTCACCCGTGTTCCTCACTACATCAACAGCTAAAAGGAGCCACCTGTGTACTTCCCCTGAGTTAGAAGGGTACAGCAAGGGCAGGTTCTGGTGTTGAGAAGTGGGACTACAGATCTCCGTTCTGCCGAAGGGCTGTGAGTTACCCAAATAGATTTATTTACAAGATAAAATTATAGGCACCAATCACTTCAAGTTAGTGCTATTTAACAATGTATGTATGCATGTATGTATGTGTGCTTGTATGTATGTGTGCTTGTATGTATGTATTTTGTGTTTTGAGACAAGGTCTTTCTATAAGGCCGTGGCTGGCTTGGAACTAGCTATGTTAGTTCCAGGCCGGCTTCACTCATAGGAATATGCCTGCCTCTGCCTCCTCAGTGCTGGGATTAAAGGTGTGCTCCACCCTGCCTGGTTATTTTAGTTTTTAAGAGGCAGGATCTTCACTATATTTCCTAGGCTGGCCCCAGACCTTGTGGAGTTCAAGCAACCTTTCTGTCTCAGCCTGGAACCACAGGCATATACTACCACACTTCACTTGAGCATGACATTTTTAAATCTAAGTCTAACCTCCCAAGGTTGTCATAAAGGGAATAATTTCCAGAAATAGCTAAGAGGAACTCAACAAACGTCAGTCCTCTTCTCTCCTCATACAACAGCAAGCACCACGTCAACATTTCCCACACGAATCTCTTCCTTTCTCTATGCTCCCGCCTCCCTCAAGGTGGGAGACAACTGATGTGACCAGTTCACACCAGCGGTTTTACTAATGACTCTTTGGAGACTTGCAAATTCAACCTTCTGTTGACATTCTCATTGAAGCTTATCATAAGCCTAAGCACACAGAACTGTACCTGTGTATAACTGTATGCTTGCTCTGTCTCTAGCTGACTTCCCTGTCCCTAATATAACTCAGTTTGGAAATCAATCTGCCGACATGAGAACGATCATCTGCGAAACCTCTGGAGGTTTCCCAGAGCCTCGCCTCTCTTGGTTGGAAAGCGGAAGAGAATTAAGGGGCATCGGTACAACCGTTTCCCAGGACCCCGAATCCGAACTGTATGCTGTCAGTAGCAAGCTGGATTTCAACGCGACCTACAACCGAAGCATTGTGTGCTCCGTCGCCTACAGCAAATTTGAAGTGTCAAAGAACTTCACCTGGAAAAAACGTAAGCAGCATTATACTGGAGAGTGTTCACTAGCTAGCATCGGAAGTAGTACCCAGCCAGCTGCACTTGAGAATCGAACATACCGACTTTGATGATCATTTTAGTCATTTTAGACATTCAGGGTGTGTGCCACTATGCCTTATGGACATCACTGGCCAAGTGTAATGGTGATATTACTAGACTAATTTTAGTTTCTTTTAATAAATATTCTAAATTTTACAGGCCTAATAATTGCTAACCATCAGGCAGTCATTTTATGTAATGTTGTCTTTTTTGAAAGCATGAGATTTTGTCCTTTTTAACCCTGCCCCAACACACACAAACCCTAGCCCCAACTTTGGCATTTTCCTTTAGGGTACCCTATCCCGATGGTCCCATGGTATCAAATCATTGTCTTTTTTGGAGTGGAATTTTGTTTTTAGAACTACTGGTTCAACCTGGGTGTGCATTCAGAGCACTGGTTCAGCATACCCAAAGCCCTAGTTTGATCCCACGTACTGGTTCATCCAGAGTCAAGTCTGGTAAAGTGATGTGACAGTCATCTTTGAGGACAATGCCTGGAGGTGAAAATCGGTATATAAACATATATAACTCACAGGTAGTAAGCTTAGTAATTTCCTAAGCTTTTATATATATCTATATAAATTATGGATAGAAAGCTTAGGAAATTCCCTTTCTCTACAGGTGAAAATGATAAGATGAAGAAATTGTTTTTATACAAATAGATGTATCTTAAATTCATGGCACATTATCATGAAACTCAGATACTTGAAATGCACATCCAATTTGAACAGCTGAGTTCACAGACGCACACTAGAGACTACCCTCCCACCTCAGCCCCACCCTAAGGGTATCTAATATGTCTGCACAGTACAGAAGCAATGCTGGGTGGCAGGCTTTGGCACACACGCACGGAATACAGGCTGTGGCATGGCTATGCCTTCTTTTTATTTACAGTTAGTTCAGGGGCCTTACGAGTTCAGAGTTCAGTCTAGTGTGGGAGTTGTTCTATCAGATCTGAGGTTGATTCTTTTAACGATCTTCCTTTGTAGGGAATAAGAAAATTTCCTGCAAGCATTAAATTGTCTTGGCATGATTTTAACACTCAAAACTCATCTCTCAGTCACTTTTTATGCGTTCCAATACTTTATTTTAAAAAGCCTTGGCTCATAAAATAAAAATGGTTTATTAATTCATGGTATATTTTTACTTTATAGCTATATCGCTAACAAATTCTGTATTTTTTTTTTAAAGGTGGGGTTTATACTGAGTTTAATCAGTACCCATAGCCTGAATTTACTTTGGATGCTGTTTTGAAGTATGGGTACATGTGAAATTTAGGACAAAAGTTGCTGAAGCTTTTCTAGAAAAAAATTCAGATAGTGTTTTGCTTCACATCCTTGCCAGCATGTGCTGTCAAGTTTTTGATCTTGACCATTTTGAGGTGGAATCTCAGAGTCGTTCTGATTTGCATTTGATGACTAGGGGCGTTGAACATTTCTTTAAGTGTTTCTCTTCTATTTAGCTCTGTATTCATTTTTTTCATTGAACTATCATCCCAATTGGTAAAGGGGAAAGTTGAGAACAAGTTATCGGTTAGTATTTCTGGTAAGCCAACCCAGAGAAGCCACAGAGGCCATGTTGCTAATATTCCTTTTAAACTGTATCCCTATCCTTTCTTCAGATGTTGATATTTCTCAAAAATACTGAAAAATAAATGGGAAAGCTACCATCCCAATGGGGAGGACTGGATGGCGGCAACACACGCTCCAATCTCTTTCTTCCCCGGTCCAGGCAGTCTCTATATTCCTCTTCACCCCTACGAGTCTGGAAGCTCATCAGAAGCTACACCACAAAGCTGTCTTCCAGGATAGTCCCCTAAAACCAATTTTTAGCCATTGTTAGTTCTTCTAAAAAAAAATATAAAAATATGAAGTGCCGCCTCCTGAAGCGCCAACTCCTGAATCTTTTTTTTTTTTTATTTTTGTTTTTCGAGACAGGGTTTCTCTGTGTAGCCTTGACTGTCCTGGACTTGCTTTGTAGACTAGGCTGGCCCCAAACTCAGAGATCTACCTGCCTCTGATTCTCTAAGTGCTAGGATTACAGGTCTGTGCCACCATGCCCTGCTGTGCCGCTGTGCCTCCCGAATCTTAAGGCATCACTGTGTGAAGTATAAGAGTGATCTGCCGTAATAAGAACATAATAAGAAAATATCAAAAATATCAATTTGAGATTTTTGAATAATTTTTAAAATAAGATATTACTGAAGTTTAAGTATATATAAAACAATTGTCTATTTTTTCTTGTATTTATTAAACTTTTACTTTATTTAAAAAAAAGAGTGTAGTTGGAGGATGTGAACAGAACATGCAAGAGAAAGGAGGTGCAACAGAGCTAGAGGAGAAAAAAGTAGGTATATCTAGATTATGACATCACTAGTAAGACCTGGCCATATATAGAAATGAGCTATGAAGACAAGATTTCTTTTAAGGTTTCTCCTTCCAGTCTTTCTTCTTCACGTCAAGTTATCTCAGTAAGTGCAAAAACTCAAGTTAACGTTTTTCATACCCAATATCTATATCATTTGAACATAGAACTGTACAAGAGAGTGCTAGCAGCTGTGTGTCTGTAAGATGGATCTGACAAAGTGAAAGGCTCCCCACAGGTGCATACTGAAGAGGCAGAGGATGGGAACCTGACAGCACATGACAACTGATGCTACTCCTTTCTTTCCACAGCCCCAGAAGCACCTCCTGATAGAAATAACCCAACTTGGATTACTACAACTGTGGCAGTTTCAATATTACCAGCAATAGCAATATTATCAGCAATAGCAATACTACTAATAATCTTTGCAGTGTACTGTAAGTACTACTTTTATAATCATGATCAGTTCCTGGAAGTCAGACCCCACTAGTGGGTTTCAGCGCATCGTTTGCCTATCACTCTAGTTTCTGCTCATATTTGCAGCAAGTCTATAGCAACTTTAGATTCTTTTTTTTTTTTTTTCTCTCTCATCAAGTTCTGTCTATTAACTGTAAAAAAAGGGAAAAAAAATCCTGGACCCCTTCCTACTGTATGTTTAGTATTCTTCTAGGCATTCAAATTCCAAAGACAAGAAACCATTGCTCTTAAAATCCAGTCTGAAAGCTAACTATACTGTCACACATCTGTAATCTGCATTCATGAAACTGAAACAGGATGTCAGAAAGCTAGAAACTAGACTGGGTTACACAGAAACTTTGAGGTTATAGCAATACCCTGCCTTAAAAAGGAGGGCTACATTTTAGTTTAATCCTGTTGATTTTCTGTGACTTTCTATTTTCTTGGAGACACCAATGATTGTGAACTACTTTGAAAGCATCTCTAACACTGACTGATACTCTAACCTTTAGACTTTGAGGACAGGTAGAACGACAAGATTTGGAGGAAAAGCCTTTCTTTGGAAGAGGTCACTAACACTTGATAGATGCCATGAATGGGTTTCTACCAATCCTTATTTCCTCAAACCACATTTTTGTATCAAAGGTGGAGCAGTTGATTAGAAGAGATTTCTAGGACAGTCTAGGTTTTAAATTTGGGGCCTTACACATAGCCTGCCCTCAGTCTTTGCAGGTGACTAAAAAGGGCTTTCTATTTCATACCTATAGTTATAATCATCCTGAAGTTATCAACTAGACTAGGAGTCACTTATACTAAGCAAATAAAATTAGAAGACCAACATCTGCTGACTTTATAACCTTTAGCATACAAAAAAAAGGTCAAAGTTCAGATAGGAGTCATCAGATACTATCATAAGAAGAAACCAAACTGAAGCCATTTTGAATTAAACTTCCATTTTGAATAGGTGTCAAACAAAATTTAAGTTCCCAAGACTTCCCTGGATGACTGACATCCTGGTTGGCAAGTTGAGACAGGAATGCTCGGCAAGTCACCCTACCACAGTTGAGCAAACCAATCAACGAGAACAGGATAAGTGTACCACAAAGAAATGATCCTAGGAAAGTCCCCATCCCTGAATCCTGATTGGTGAAAAATGTGCTTGGCACAGATGATTACGGCTTTCTGGGCCAAATAATACTTTGTTACAGTAGTATTCTACTGTATAAAGGATGTTCCTCAGCTTCCTCAGCCTATTTCAACCTACAGCAGTAACAACAAAACATCTTTCAGGAGTTACCAAATGCCCCTGGAAATGGGGTGTGTGTTGGGGATGTAATTGGAAACCCTCCTAGTTCAAGAACCACATTTTAGGTGTAAGATAGTAGGAAGGTTTGCTGAAATACAGACATGATTTATGGGATCTTCATCTGTTGTTATAATTTATGTTTATCTTTAAGACTGTCGCAGAAGAAGAAATGTGGTAAGCAGAAGAGAAAACAACAGCATTTACATCAGGCCTGCAGAAGCCTCAGCAGAAGAACAGACTGTCTGAAGGTAGCCATCTACTTTCCTTTATTCCTCCTCTACCCAAGTGGGACACATGATATTAATGTGGATCATGAGGTACAATCTTCAGTATGTGCTAGTTAATCTTTTGGAGAACTTGACACAGGATGAGAGTTATCTGGGAAGAGAAAACCTTAAATAAAGGTTTTCTGTTGCCTGTGAGCAAGTTTGTTGGACATTTTCTTGATTGACGATTGATGTGGGGACAGGTTATAGTCCCCATCATTGAGGTAAATCAGAAGAGGAAACAAAGCAGGAAGCAAAGGCCATGAAAAACTGCTGCTCCTTAACTTGCTCCCCATAATTTGCTCAGCCCCCTCCTTATTTATTTATTTTAAATTATTGTTCTTACATCTCTACCAGTTTCCCTCCCTCCTCTTCTCCCAGCCCCTCTGGAAGGTGGGGAATCACAGCTCTGGCCCCACTCCATCCATTCCTCCTCCATTTCTCTTCAGAAAAGAGCAGGCCTCCCACAGATGACACACTAAACATGGCATATCAAGTTGAAAAGACCATGTTGTTTGGGGCAAGGATTGTGGATGTGTTTAAAACTCTGGAAAAACCATTGATGCTTAACGTTCAGTGCTTAATGGAATGTTCTGTGGAGTTTGGAAAATAAGAGTGTTAGGACTAACACAAGTGATGAAGGCTTGTGAAGTGTCACGGGGAAGTTTTTGAGTTTCTTGTACACTATCAGGATTTTTATTGTGATGTACTTGTGCTGAGAATGTGTGATCTCTGGCCTGCTGGGGCTTAAGAATCAGCTGTGATTAACAAGAGCTCAGCATCACTGAAGTGGAGCCTTTGCTTTACTGGGACAAGTGATGCTGGTTAGCTGGGGTTGAGAAATCAGCTGTGATGAAGAGACTGGTATCACTGAGGCGAGATCTACTGAGAAGTATTTCTTTGGACTCAGCCCACGGACGCTGTGGTCCATGGGAGTCAAGGTTGCATGTCAAGCTGGTAGCAGAACTTGGCAACATCCAAGAGTCTCCTGTATGGGGCTGGTTTTGAAAGCTTGAAGTCATGGAGAGCAGCTGAGGCTTGGCATTGTGTGAGGCCACTTGTGAAGGTGAAATCACAGTTGCAGTGGTGACCTCAGATACTAGAGATACCAGCATCATGGAATGACCACCAAGGACAGAAGCAGGTGTAGAGTGGGGTTGGCTTGAGCCTACCAGGGTAAGCTCCATGTGCTGCAGAGCCAGAGACAGGGCTACTCAAGCCCTTTGAAGTTCAATCATGAGTTCAAGACATTGAACACTGAATGTTTTACTGTTGAGCTTTGGTTTTTGTTTGATCTAATTCTGTTCTGGTTCTCCTCTGTTGGGATAAGATGTATCTTAGTTTTGTTTTTAGTTATTTGATTGTTTTTAGATTATGATTACATCATTTCCCCCTTTTCCTTCCTTTTCCTCCCATATTCTTCTCCTTGCTCTCTTTCAAATATGTCTGTTTTAATTTAAAGTTGAGACAGTTGAGAGACTTTTGACTTTCAAAGTGATGTTGAAATTTTAGAAACTGGACTTGAATTGTTTTATTTGTGGTTTTTGTTTGTTTGTTTTTTGACACAGGTTTTTCTCTGTAGCCCTGGCTATCCTGAAATTCATGAGATCTGCCTGCCTCTGCCCCATGGGTGCTGGGATTAAAGGTGTGAACCACTGCTGTGCAGCTATTTGAAAATTAAAAAAAAAAATGTTGGGATTTTCAAAGTTATATAGCATTTTATACTGTCATATTAACATGAGATCTTGGGGATACACAAGAAAGGTTATGGTTCAATAGTGATGTATTTGTCTGTCAAGATAACAGAGATTCAGTTGTGCTGGTCAGATTTTTTGTTAACTTGACACAAGCTAGGGTCATCTGAGAAGAAAAAAAAACCTTATTTAAGCAATTGCCTCCATCAGATTGTAGACAAGTCTGTGGGGCATTTTCTTCACTGATGATTGATGTGGGAGGCGGCCTAGCCCCCTGTTGGTGGCACCATCCCTGGGCAGGTGGTCCTGTGTGGCCTAAGAAAGCAGGAAGAGCACGCCCTGAGGCGTAAGCCATTAAGCAGCATTCCTCACGGGCTCTGCTTCAGTTCTTGCCTTCAGTTCCTACTTGAGTTTCTACCCTGATTTCTCTCAATGATGGATCATAAGTTTAAATAAACTCTCCACTCCAAGTTGCTTTTGGCCAATCTTTTTATTATCACAGCAACAGAAACCTGTTGTTGAAAATATGGTGTTGGGCTATATAATGTTTGTTATTAGCCCTATAATTATTATTATTATTATTATTAACCCACTATCAGAAACACTAACACACAGACCTCTGTTAGATTTTATAATTGTCCTATTTACATTGTGCTGGGCAGATATTCCACCTATGCTGTCTTAAAAACCTCACTATTCATCTCCCAGGCCCCATCCAATGCCATCAGCCTTAACCATTCCTATTTGGCCTATCTCCCATCCATAATTTTATAAATATTTGCTTATTCTTCATCTGGGTCATTTTCTCCATCCACGCCATCCTCAAAGTCCTTTCTCTCAGCCCACATGGTTCCTTCTCCCATGCTAAGCCATCATGGCATCCTCCTTCCTCCTCTGTCTCCTTCTGGTGATTTCCTGTCCTCAAAGGCCCCGAACCTTAACTACACCTATCTCCTGCCCTGGTCAGGTACAGGTAACCAATAGGAGCTATGTCTTAGGCAGGTTTACACAAAAAGGATAGATGTATCCAGGCAAGAACCAGATCTTGAGGGCCAGTAATTAGCATCAAAATACAAGCATTAATCTAATCCCCAACAGAAACCCAACTAAAATAAGCACCAAATCTGAACTTTTACATATATGACCTCAACTCCTCAGAAACTTTAGTCAGACTGGAGGAGTTTGGGATCCCTTTTCTTTTCTGATACATGCCAATGCTTACCTAATATATTCCTTTGCTATGTTTGTCTGCCACCACGATGCATTCCCCCTGTTGTGGTTTGAACGGGAATGGCTCTCACAGACTCATGTGTTTGAATGCCTGGCCCATAGGGAGTGGCACTATTAGGAGGCATGCCCTTCTTGGAGGAAGTGTGTCACTGTGGGGGTGGGCTTTGAGGTCTTCTACACTCAAACTACGCCCAGTGTGACACGGTCTCTTTCTGTTGCCTGTGGATCCAGATGTAGAGCTCTCAGCTTCTCCAGTACCATGTCTGCCTGCATGCCACATTTCCCACCGTGACAATAACAGACTAAACCTCTGAAACCATAAGCCAGCCCCAATTAAATGTTTTCCCTTGTAAGAGTTGCTGTGGGACACGCAGACCACGTGTGTGGTCTGGGAAAGATGCCCATAGACCTGCTCTCCACTGCACGGCAAGGGCCAGCCACAGACACACAGAGCCCTGACTGCCACCACTCAACGAAGCGCAGGTGGAGAAAGATATCCAGAGAACCACCCACTGCCATGCCACAGGGGTTGGCGGTAGATACCAAGAGGTTGTTTACAGCCATGCTATGCATTATGGACAGAGGTCACCTAGAGGCCTGCCATCCGCATGGTTCTCCTGCAGTGGGAGAAACTACAAAGTGCAATTATGTGATGGACAGAATGAAGAGAAAGAGAAGTGGAACACTCTGAGTATTATGAAGAGAGATGGAACTGGAGACACAAGGGTGGAAAGAAGTAGACTGTTGCGTGTAGCCAGGCCTTCCACCTGAGGCCATGGTGAAGAGCCATCTCATGCTGCGACTGAGGGCCTTGTCTGAGTTTGTGGCTTCACAGCAGCAGGGGTCAGTGTTGATATCCATGGCTTTTATTACCACTAGAGAACATGGGAATGCCCCTGATCTGGGCACTCACCTGGGACCATGTGGATGTTCAGGGACTGTGCAGAACTGGCTCTACCCCTCACTGGCTGTGTCGCTCTGGAGAGCTGGCTGTGACCTCTAGCTGCAGCACACCAGAGATGGCCCTGGTGGTGGTGGCACAGGTGAGCCAGCTCTGAGAGTGTGAGAGCAGGAGAGCCGGCCCAGACCCTCACCAACTGCAGCACTCGGAAGAGTGGGCCCCTTGCCCTGACTGGGCACTACAATGGAACTGGCCCTGAAGGCGTGGATGTGGGTGAGCCAGCCCTGAGAGCATAAGGGCAGGAGAGCCAACTCTGGCTCCTGCTGATGGCAGCACTGGGCGGTCTAGCCAGAGCATTGCTGGAGAGCTTGCCCTGGTAGTGCAGATAAGGGAGAGCCAACCAGCTGACCAGCTCATTCACCACCCAAGCCCAGATCCAGGGCTTTGAATTGGCCCACCCCCAAATCTACATCATCTGTGAACTGTTGGGGCCAGTGAAAGGGTCAGTCCTGCTACTCCAAAGCCACAGAATCTCCACAACACAGGCAACAGGATAATCAGGAGTCCTGGTGAGGATCCAATATTGATGGTGTTACAGAAGCCAGAGACCAAGAACCAGACCAATGACTCATTGCAATGAACATTTGTAAGTGGAGATGTTTGGACAGAGGGACATACTATAGGACATACTGTGACACACTACAGCTTCCACAATGAGATGCTTTCTATGCTTTGTTTTATTTTGTTTGTGCGTTTTATTGGGGGGGGGGAGGTTGCAAGGATAGAGGGCAGATATGAGGGGACAGGGAAATGAATGGGACTGGGGTACATGATGTGAAACTCACAAAGAATAAATAAAAAGTTAAAAAAAGAAAGTGGCCATGGCCATGGTCATGGTGTATCTTCACAGCAAACTAAGACAGCCCCATTGTTTGCCAGTTACTGGGGCATAAAACCCGGATCCGAGTTTCTGAAGTGACTGACATCCTTGGCCAGCTTCCTATTCTGAACACTCATGTTTCCTTGCATCTCTCAACTGTTGATGAATACAGCTTTGGATTACTTGTACAAACACATTGTCTTTGAGTTCTCTCTTACTGACAGACTCATCCAACTGATAAACCACTGGGCCAAATTTCATTTAAAAAGTTATTTTGTCATGTCCTTTTCCCATTCGGAAACTCAGAAGAGAATCCAGGGCCTGCAGAAGCTTCAAAGCTTTTGACTCTTTACAGTCAAAATGTCCTCCTCTCCACTGTTTTTCATGACATGGTTTCCAGTCATGTGAAATTACTAGATGCCAAAGGGGGAAATCAACATTTGGATTTGGTCCTATGACCAAATAAAATATGAGAATTACTACTGAAGTCCCAAATGCTCTTTCAGTTAATGGAGTGAACATAGCATTAACTTTTGTGTTTATTACAGCTAATATACATATCAACTTTGTGTTCCCCTAAAACTTCATGGTCTTTTATGTAAAAGAACACTGAACATTGAAATCTGAAGCTGAACTGAATAGGTAGTACATAGCTCTAAACCTGTAATGGCAGCACACAGGAGGCAGAGGCAGCAATATAATAAGTTCCAGCCAGCCTTGGCTAAAAAGCAAATCCTGTCTCAAGAAAACAGAAAGCAAACCAATCTAAGGTTGATATTAAGTCCAAAACAGTTATAACCTCCATGCAGAGTTAAACCCTTAAATTTGGAGTTTGGAATAACACCATCATATGAAATGAGAATTTGAAGAATTTGCTTTAATGAGAGAGAGAGAGAGAACAAGCCAGGCATAGTAGCACATGTCTTTAATCCCAGCACTCAGGAGGCAGAAGCAGGTAGAGGCTAGTCTGGTCTACATAGTGAGTTCTAGGACAGGCAAGATTAGGTGGTCTAGGTGGAAGCTAGTCTGGTCTACACAGTGAGTTCTAGTATAGGCAAGATTATAATAGTGAGACCCTGTTTTTAAAACAAAACAAAAATTATAGAAAATGATAAATAATGTACTTTTTTGCAGAATCGCTATTTTATCTTATAAAAAAGCTACATATGTAAGATCTTTCTATCTCCTCTGGAAGATAAATATAAGGCTCTCAGAGGTTGAGTGATTTGACTGAGCTCCTTGTATTGGCATTAATTCTGCTTTGGTTCCACTACTGGGTCTGTGGTGAGGCAGATGGTCATGGTGAGGGTGTAGTGGGACAGAACAGTTCTTCTCACTGCAGCTGGAAGCAGAAAGGAGGTGTGGCATAGAACAAGAAACAGCTTTCCAGGCCATGGTCCCCAGTAACCTGTTCCTCCAAGTTAACCCCAACTCCTACTTTTCACCATCCCCATCAATATCATCATAGTAGGACTAGGTCAAAGGCCTCAGGGTCCTGCGCTTCTGACAAGCCACTGGCAACCAAGCCTCTAACAGCAGAGCCTTTGGGAGAACACTGCATCTCGACTATAATCATCATACAGATGAAAAACAAACCAAACATCAAGTTAGATGACTACTGCTATTTTACTCCACAGCAACCCATGTGTGTGTTTCCCAATGCAGTGTCTCAAATTCCTTTCCTATTTTCTTTTCATTGAAACATATTACTCCTTAGAATGCCTTTCCACTATGTTTCTCCCTTTCGGTTCTGTGATGAAGAGTTTCCACAACTCACACCTTCTGGACAATCTGCCATACTTCAGAACCAAGTTATGAATCCAACTTTCTATACACTGCCTTCTATGCCATCTTGCTGAGTTCATGCAGCTCCACCTATGGATTTTTAGTACATCACATACTACCTGAGTTTCAAATGCCATGTATCATATCCTTTTCCAGACTATAACTTTATTGGGAAAAGCAACCATGTCTGACATCTTTACCATACACACAGTAGATTGTCTGCAACAACCTGTGGTTATTTAGAATGCCTGGTCCTTAATAACAATTTGCTTGGTGACTACTTGCTGCATTTCATGTAATAAAAATTAGGCTATTTTTATATTCCTTATCAAGATTAATATCTATTATGTTATCTCAAATTAAATATATAGTTGGCCTTGAGAGTTAAAGCAATAGTATTTTTCTTTCTTGTAAAAGCTAAGGTTGAAACATTCATTTATTTCTTCTTTCCCCAGGTCTCTCCTACATTTGCAGCTGACATCATCTGTAACCGTCTTCAGAAATCATGACTGCCCAATCATGGCCTGCAAACATCTATTCTTTAGGTGAAGCCTCTTCAGTGGTTTTGCAGAAGTATGGAGGAATACAACATGTACCATAGTAGTTCTGTTACTTGAGAAAGTAGTTTAGAGACCGAATTCTTTGTGGGAAGAAATGTTAGGGAACACTGACATGTCTGCCCCCCACAATACCTCTTCCCCACACTCACTTGTCGTTTTAAGATAGGGTCTTACCCTGTTGCTCAAGGTGACCGAGAAGTCACTTTGTGGCCCAGGCAGGTTTCAAATGTGCAGCAATCCCCTGCACCAGTTTCCTGAGTGCCACAATTACAGGTGTGAGCTACCACACTTAGCAGAACACTAGCCGAAGCTCCAGAACACTGAGGCTCCAGGACAAAACCTGAATTGTGAAAGCGAGTAAGAATCCAGATTTCCTGGCTCTACTGCTCTTCACAGACCCTAAGCTTGAAGACAGGTTTTTTTGTTTGTTTGTTTGTTTTAATTTAAAATGCTTTTAAGCAAAAGGCTTAGTTAGTGTGGGATTCAGAATATTGCTTACTAGTAAGACTTGACTACCATCTCTGAAGCCTTGGGTAGTTTTTATTTGTTTTTTGTTTTTAAGGCCTATTGGCCTGGTATAATTTATAGGAAATATGTCGTTTTCAGCCAGCATTTTTCATGTATTTTTCTTTTCATCCTTTCATTTTCTCAAGTTCAAGAGAAAATACAATTATCCAAAATTAAATTTTTCTATACCTAAGATGAATGTATGCCTTTCACACTTCAAAGGAAAAGTCAAGTTGGAGGCAAAGTTCATAATTTACCAGTTCACATTGGACTTGCAATCTCTTTAGGCAAGTTTGCCCTTTTACCTACTTGAGACAGTTCTCATTTAAAATGAGATTATTTACTAAGTAGTGATCTATCCTCAAATAATGATTGAGGTGATAACAGCCTTCCACACAGCTTCCTTAGGTTCCCTGAAGTGGCTTTTGTGCTTGGTATAGATCAGCTACAGTGCAGAACTGAAGAGCAGTTTGTTCATCAGACACAGTAGCATATGCCTGTAATCCCAGCACTCAGAGGGCTATGGCAGGACTGAATTCCAAGTAGCATGGCTGCACAGTAAGACCCCGTCTGAGACCCACTTACTTCTCCCCCTGACCCCCAAAAGGAGGTAACATAAGAAGTAACCGACTGCTGCTTGTATGTTGAAGGTCCCTTTTTCTCTGAAATTGTCACCTGCAACTTACTAGGTCAGTAGTGGACAAAGTCAAGACAGATATTCTTGTCTAAAAAATTGGAGTTGGACACAAAAAGACAGCCAAGTTTCTCAGTGGGGCTGGATGTTTAGTTTTAGGGACTCTAATGAGGTCAGATTTTGTTGTACTGTCTGAGAAACAGGTCCATTTTTATATGGGTGCTCTCAAAACCAAGTCACTAAAGGAAATAAAAACAGTGCACTGACAAGACACTGAAAACAAAACCAATGAAAAGTGGGAGGGAGCTGTTGCATTTAAGTCTCAATTATCATTGGGGTGACCAAAGACCCCCCCAAAAAAGGGGGAAACTTTAAAAAGTACATTATATTAAATTATTGAGTACATTTGATTTTAGTTGTTTTTAGAGTTATACTGATTTTATTACTCGAGTATTTTTATGGTAAATGTAAAATTATTTTTTAAAGCAACTCTTTAGTTTTATAATTTTTAGTTTAAAGATTTTACCTAAAGTTAAAAAAGATTTTGCCTATGTCATTATGAATAAAACAATAACTAGAATGTCTACTTGCCAATATGTCATCAATTTATAAGTGGGATAATTATAAAAGACATGATTTATGAGAATGGTCCTAACACATATGTTAACAATGTGCCAACATATCAGTGCGGAGGTCTTTCCTTATAGATATGAATATTTATTATCATATAGGCATTGTACTAAAACTTTTGTTGGAAAAAAAAAAATTACACACACACTCCTTTTTTCTTACCACACTTATCAACACAAAAGACTTTGTAGGCCCAAAGCTGTGGGAGCTTCTCCCAGCTAGCTTGGAAGCAATGACTTCTGGAGTAGATAGAAGGCTCATTCCCATAACTGACCAACTAGCTACAAAACTGAGGTTCAAGTATCTCCTTGTGTCATGAGTTTGCTTGATGAATCACAGGGTGCGGGGGAAACTTACTGGTCTGCTGTAAACGACATCCCAGTGAGAACACGCACTGGGTGAAGCACCGGAAAGAGCGTGGAGAGTCCATAGGCATGGTGACTAAATCTCTGGCATTTGGTGAGCAGCTCACTTCTCAGCTCCTCTCCCTAACCAGAAGCTGTAAGCTGGGGCTGAAAGTGCCTGTTCTCTCCTCTGCTAAAACTTCTAGATGACCAGTCCTCATCCCCAAGAGGCCACCAGCTACCAGGCAACTCATCAACACGTACAAAGTTACTATCACTTGTGGGTTTCCAGGATTTGGGAAGTTGTCTCTAGTGGAGTGCAAATACATACTTAACAATATCATACTTAAATAATCTCATTAAAAACTACTTTCAAGAATACACTGTTACACTTAATGAAAGCTCTGTGGGACCTAAACTACAACGGGGCTAAGGCTATAACCCACTGGCTGAGTGCTTGCCTAGGACATACTAGACTCTAGGTTCATAAAGCGGCTTCATTGTAAGTCACACAGCTGCTATGCTCCTGGCTGAGGAGAGTGAGTGATCTGCCCCTGGAGTCCTTAGCTTTAGCTACTGCGTTAGCTGTTCTTTAGACCTTGCTTGAGAGTAGAATCAAGTTACCAAGAGTAAGTCCAACTCCAGATTAAAATGCTAGCAGCCTCTTCCCCTCCATCTGATCCACAGGATGTAATCCAAGACCACAGTGGATGCCGGAAGCTGTCTACAATCCAGGATCCTCAACATGGCAGCAATGCTCACCTTTTGCTTAAAGGGCACGCTGCACAGCTTGTCTTCATACATGTAAACTGTTAGCAGCACTACTCATATACTTTGGAGCCATTATTAAATGTTATTTTAACACACGCACCATTATTCCACACACTCAACTTGATAACCAAGACAAAGTGACAGACGGTCAGATGCAGAGTAGGGAATGCTAAGCAAAGCAGTAAGGTCTATCTCAGAGGCATAGGGTGAGAGCTCATCATCCAGCTGCAAAGGCACAAAATATAAAACTTAGGAACTGCTTAGTCCTGGGATTTACTGTTTTCAGACTACAGTTAACTGCAGGTAACTAAAACTGAAGGCAAAACCAAAGACCAGGGAAGTGCTGCCCATGTAACTCGGACTTTTGCTTCCTCCCCTTCTGTCCACAGCCGAACTTTAGGATGGCTGCTAGCAGGCAGCCAGCTCCTTAGTGTAGGGATGGCATGCCTCGTCTAAGCATCTTTTGTATGCTTGGGCACAGAAGCTTTGTCAGCCATGTGGGGAGGAAACAAAGCTGACTGCTTCTTTAATAACACCCAGCAGCTTCCAGTTTGTCAAGTCACATTCAAACGGTGCCTTTTATTATTTTAAAAAACAAAAACAAAACAAAACAAACAAAAACTAAATGCAGAGAGGCCCACACTATTTCAAGGGCCCAAAGGAAGAAGATTTCACAGGCCATTTTCTTTTATCTAGTTCCTTCTCTCAGTTACCACAAGAGAACATTTATCTTAAAAGACTGGGGAGTGAATAAATAATCCAGACAATGCAATTTTAATCTTTTGGGAAGTATTTTACTTGTAGCAGGATAGAGAAAGTTAAGTTTAGATGGATCAACTATCAGTATAAATAAGAAAATGTAACCCAATTCTTTGGGTTGCTTTTGGTTCTTTGTTTTTCATAGGTGCATATTTTTGAAACAGGGTCTTGTTAGGTAGCTCAAGCTGGCCTCCCAAGCAGCTGGAATTGTAGGTTTGTGGCACTCGCCCAGCTCTGATGTCTAATTACGGATGGAAAAAGAGAAAAGGTGAGAGGTAAGGCACTGCTCCCACGGCTGCCAGCACTCACATTTGTCAGCAGCTGACAAGAAGCAGTCTGCACTGGCATTCCTAGACACACAGACGCCTCAGCCTCAGTCCTCACTTTGTTTATCTGGCGATAAAGGGTTCCTAGGGAGGCTCAGCAGCTCCTCAATTCTCTGAGCATCTTCCTCAAGCCGAATCTTCTCTAAGCCACTTTCAATTTCCTTAGGGAGGAGCTCAGTGACTTGCAGCTTGCTTTTCCTACAATCAAAGGACACACACATGTCAATTTCTTCCTTGGAGAGACTTCCAGCAAAGGGGCAGTATCTATCACACCCTTCCTGCTTTGGTATGACAACTTATGGGCAAATGTTGGTCCTTGTGCTCACAATACAAGGACTTGCTCCTCTATCCTGCTCTGTTCCATTTTCAGTTTAACCATGATTTCCACAGTACCAAAACGGACACTGGACACCTAACATACGCTGGGACACTGTGTCCTGAAGTTCTTCTGAGCTGTTATCCTAATCCTCAGACCTGGGGAGCTGGGAGCCTTTGCTGCTATGTAAATGCTCGTACCAGACCTGTGGCTCATGAAGAATGTGCAATGACGACTTAGACAAAGTCATGTAGGACAACTCTACATATACATATTTATGAAGAGCAGAATCAAATACATATTAATGAAAACTAGAATCTAATTTGTAACATATCAGTTCTTTTCTTAACTAGAATCTTAGTATCTTTCTTTGACTGTCAAGGCCACTACAGCTTAATTCTCAACCCAACCAAATTTGATCATTCTTCTATCATACCTATGACCAGTCTTCTTTATTTTCTGCTAGGACAATTTTAAAAACTATTTCTCTGTATTGTTTTCAAGCTCAGAGGCAGTCATATAAAAAGTCACATAAACATTTGAACCAACTCTTCTTAGAAATACCATACACATATTCATGACACATACGTAAGCTACACATTTAAAATTTTTAAATTTTATGTGTATAGAAACTTTGCCTGCATGTAAATCTGTGTACCACATGTTTGTCTGTATACTGCATATATGTCTGTGTACCACATGTATGGCTGGGGACTGCAGAGTCTAGAAGAGAGTATCAGACTCCCTAAAAATGGAATTATACAGTTGTAAGCTGCCATGTAGGTGCTGGGAGCTGAAGCTAGGTCCTTTAGAAGACGAGCCAATGCCATCTCTTCAGCCTTTGTATTTTTTAACATTATTTCCCTTAGCTGAAGAATTCCTTCACTACTATATTTCATGTTTGCTGTTATTGATAAACTTCTCTTATTTTCTCCCTTTTAAAATTGAAATATAATCATTATTTGTCCGTATTTCCCCAAATGTTAATTCTTTCATAGCATTCTGTACCATAACCAAATAGCCAATATCCTTTTCCATCTAACCCTTTTCTTAAAACTTTGTTTTAAAAAAGGAGGCTTGTATGACATTTGGGGCACTAAAAATAAGAAGTTTCCATGATTTTAATTCACAGTATTAAACTTTATGCTGCCACTTGAAATTTTAGGTGCTTCATCCTAGGACCCAGATAATCCATGTCCCACATGCCCTCTTACCATAAAGAGGAAGAACAAAAGGAATGCTGAGCATTAGTGTAAATTCTGTCGCTAAAGCAGCTAGACAAACTGACAACTTAAAGTTCAGGAAAGTATCTAAGGTCACTGCTAAATCACAACCTATAATCCTAGTACTCAGAAGGCAGGGGCACTGTTAAGAGTCTGGGGCTAAGGTAGGCTAAATACTGAGACTCTCAAAATACACAATGAAACCCAATTTATAGACAAACTGAGATTTAAGCTCAGTTTTCAAGGTTTTATTGGCTCCAAATCAATGCTTTTTCTCCTACAGCATTTAAGTCCTTGGGAAGAGACCTACGTAGAACAATTACAACTGTGTGTGTGTGAAACACAAAAAAAATTCAAATAAAATCCCTGGTTAAAAAAAAAAAATGCTTATCTATCTGTCCAATTAGAAAAGCAGCATCAATGTCAGCAAATGTCGTCTCAGACAGCCAGGAGCTAAACCATGATAAACACCTGAACTCAGAGTGCTAGATGGCAGCAGCTGAACAGAGTCAGTCGTCACTCTCACCATATTACCTTAAAGAGTGGGGATTCCTACACCAGGCCTGCTAATACAGGCCTGTGATCCCAGCTATTAGGAGGCTGAAAGAAAGGACCACAAGTCCAAATGCCACTCTTGGCAACTTGGTGGGATACTGTCTCAAATGTATTAAGTTTTATTTAATAAATTATTAAATTAAGTTAATGAAAATTAAAAGATGCCTGGAGATTTAGTTCAGTGATAGAGTACTTGACTAGCACTGATAAAGTCCTAGTAAATCTCCAACACTGTAATACATGAAATGATGAGATAGAAGAAGCAAGCATTTTCATGTTTCCCAGTGGCATCCCATCCATGAACAACTATTTTATTTACTTCAGTTCTCTGACTACATCAAGAAGTAAAATTTCAAATGTGGACACTTAGCATATAACATTCTCCTCCCTACTCCCAGCTACCCCTCCATCATTCCATCCCCATAAGACTACACCTCACTATATAAACCAAATTAACCAAGCCAACCTAATGATCACCTTGCCTCAGGAACCTGGCATTTTAAAAATGTCTACATTTTAAAATCTGTATCACCCTCCTACTCCCCAAGGCTCAGGGGAGTGTTACAGAGGAGGAGGGCAGAAAGGTATTAAGAGCTGGAAGAACTGGAACGTGTGGACACTGTCTTCCGGGCATTGCATGGCTGCAGCCTTGTGGCCTCAGAGCAGCTGTGATTTCCTGCGTAAGACTTGCACAAGGTTGGGCCTGTCAGCATTCCTTTATGGATCAGGGAGGGGCTCAGGAGGCCCTGCCCAGCCCTCAGAATTTATTTATAGGCTGTTAATGGTTAATGGAAACAGAAGAGGCTTTCTTCAATGGGATAGACACTTGTAAGTTACTCACACTCCTATAAACAAGTATTTACCAATGCTCTTGTAGTGACCCTAATTAAAGCCACTGATTCATTACAAAAAAAAAGAAAAAAAAATAAGAAAAGAAAAAGGAAGGAAGTTGAAAGGACAGACAGACCTAAAGAAACAGCCTTGTCAGATTAAAAATAAAATCTGTGCCTTTCATTTTCCCATTCCCTTAACGAAACAGACTTAAAAGACAACACAGACTAAAAGAGGATTCAGGAAAAGCAAACTCCTGTGAACTGAGTGGCAGTTTGGAGAGCCTTTGGGTCATAATTTGGGCCGTGGCTAGGAAGTCAGACCACCAGTCTTTACAGGCTCCTTACCACTCTTCCAGTTCCTTCTCATGGAATGCCTTCCTGTCCTTCTGTCTTCTCTCCTGAACGGTCTCACCAGCGTATTTCTGAAGGGCCATCAGCAGGCTTCCCATAGGAGTGCTGAGGGGAAACCAGAAAGTTCAAGGAAAGTCATTAGCCCCTCAACACAGGAGTGCCCTGCTCATCAACAGCAGAGCCACTTGCTTACTATCAGATACAGAAGCACTTAACAACAACAAAAAATTAAGGCAATTTTCTTCCTTGGCTGAACAACATAAAAAAACAATCACTGTAGCTTCCTTGCCTGGTATAAAATAGCAATAGATCTAGAAATGTTGTTTTTTTTTTTTTTTTAATCATAAATAAGAAATCAATTGCCCCCTTGTCCTTCACCAACTGAGGTGATCAGGGGAGCTGATCCAAAGTCATGAGAACTGGTGAGCTGACCCAGTCCCTTACTGGCTGCAGAACTCAGGAGAGCAGGCCCTTCAGCTTACCTGGGTAGCACAGCAGAGCCGGCCCTGATGGAGGAGAGCAGGTGAGCTGGCCCACTGGGCATGAGTGCATGAGAGCCAGCCCTACTTGTCTGCTGTGAGGTGGAGTGGGCAAGAGGGTGATGCCTTCCCCCTTCCCTTGCCACCGTCAACAGCTGGGAGAACTGGCCCCACAATCATGAGGAGAGCTGGTCTAGCCCTCCCCAGCACTTGGGAGAGCAGGCCCCATTCTTTGACTGGGCAGCACAGTGAGCTGACTCTGCTGGCCCCAAGAGCATGAGAGAGGGAGAGAGGTGACTCCACCTCCTGCCAATGGTGGCATTGGGTGGCCTGGCCAGAACAGTGCTGCAGAGCTTACCTTAGTGGTGCAGACAAGGGAAAGCTGGCGGGCTGACCAGTTCAGCTACTGCCCAGACCCAGATCCAGGGCTTTGAGTTGGCCCACCCCAAAAATGTGAACTGTTGGAACATGTGAAAGGGCTGGTCCTGCTGATCCAAAGCAGCAGAATCTCCATGACACAGGCAACAACAGGATAACAGGGAGGAGTTCTGGTGAGGATCAAATATTGATGGTGTCATAGAAGCCAGAGCCCTCGAACCAGACCAATGACCCACTGCTATGAACATTCGCAAGTGAAGATATGTGCACAGGGGTATGTTGTAGGACACACTGTAACACACCACAGCTTCCATGACAAGATGTTTTTTATGCTGTTTTGTTAATTTTGTTTGTTGTTTGTATGTTTTCATTTTGGGGGGAGTTTGCAAGGGCAGAGGATGGATACCAGGGGACAGGGAGATGAGTGAGACCTGGGGTGCATGATGTGAAACTCACAAGGAATTAATAAAAAGTCAAAAAAGACGCAAAGACAAACAAAGAGGAGAAATCCAATGACCAGTTCATTTTCCCTGGAGGGGAGACATGTGGTGAGAACCGTTTGATGGGAGAAGGATGCTACTAGCTTTCTTAAAATTCCAGAGTCTGGTATAACTGACAGCTGTCATGTTACGAGCTATGCACTAAGAGACTGATTTAGGGGCTGGAGAAACGGTGCAGCAGTTAAGAGCACTTGTTGCTTCTGCAAAGGCCCCAGGTTTGGTTCCCACTACCTATAACTATGACTCCAAAAGACTCAATACCCTATTTAGTCCTTCGAGGACAGTAGGCATGCACTCATAATATATACACATAAAACAAAAATAAATAACTCTTTTAAAACATAAAAGGAAAAGAAATTCATTAGGGCCTAGAGAGAAGCCTTGAGTTTGGATGCCCAGCACCCATGCTAAAGAGTCAAGTGTGGCAGCATGCGCCTGTACTGCAGTACTGGGGAGACAGAGATAGGAGGCTCTTGCTGACTACTCATCTAGCCAATCAGTGAATGATCCCATCTTAAAAAATAAGGCAGATGAGGCTGAAGGGGTACTTAGTGGTAAAGTCCTTGCCTATCATGTGCAAGGCCCTAAGTCTGAACCCCAGTACAACAAAAAAATACAAATAAGGTGGAAAGTGACTGAGGAAGGCATCCAACATTGATTTCTGTTCTCTGCACCCATGAACACAAATGCAGAAGCATGTGTACATGCACATAAGAAACTGATTTAGATCATTATCATAAGGACAAACAGCATTTGTTTCTTATGTTCTCAAGAAAAAAGTTTTAACTTGGATATAAGTCAAATTCTCTCTGGATAAAATTTCAATAATCTCATTAAAAAGTTCTTTGCTAAGCAAAAGAAATCCAAAAATACGTCAGCAGAATGGATGATGAAAATCTCTCTCACATATACATACACAACGGAAAGGGAGAAGAATTATGCATCATAAAAAAAAAAAAAGAAATCATTATATGCTTCAATGTAAAGCTCAAGCATGTTAGTATGCTAACTAAAATAAGCCAGTTACAAAAGGACAAAAAGGTTGTGATTTCACTCATTCAAATGCTATATGATTCTAGCATGCATGTCAAAATTATTATAAAACAGAAAGCAGAAAGAATGTTGTCAATAGCTAGATAGAGTAATGTTAAGAATTATGTTAATAAATATAGTTTCAGGTTTAAGATAAAATATTCTGGAAATGTGATGTACAGCAATATTAATATGCTTAACATTACTGAACTGCACACTAATGGTTAAAATGTGGGAAAGGAAACAGGAGAGGAGGACCAGTAAGAACAGAATATTATGAAGATGTCATTATGCTTCATTGTATACTAACTTTAAAAAATAATGATCATGTTCAAGATGAAAGATGTAACACATATAATCACAACAAAAAAATATGCTGGGATGACCACATAGGTAGTTGATAGAGAGGTTACCTAACATGCATACAGCCCTGAGTTCTATCCCCAGCACTGCATAAAGACAGAAAAAAAAAAAACAAAAAAAACAACAACAATGGCACATGCCTGTAATGTCAGTGCTTCAGAGGTAGAGGCAGGAGGATCAGAAGATCAGGGTCGGTCATGGCTATACAGGGAGGTTGAGACTAGCCTCAAGTAGTGACCCTATCATGAGAATTTTTTTCCTACTAGCTTCAAAAACTTTTCCCTCCAAACCAAGCTGATGTACTAACAATACAACAAAAACAATGTTAGCAGTGGGTTTTGACAAACTGAAATTTTTTTTGACAAACTGAATTTTATTAGATTAAAAAATTGTAAAAATAAGCCAGATGGCGGTAGTGTATCCCTTTAATCCCAGCACTCAGGAGGCAGATCTCTATGAGTTCTAGGATAGCCAAGACCATACAGGGAAACCTTGTCTTGAAAAATATATATAAATAAATAAAAGTAAAAAATAAAAGAATGTAAAATAAAATCCATACATGTACTGGGCATGGTGACTCATGCCTATAATCTCAGCACTCAGAAATCTAAGGATGATAACCAGGTCAAGGCTAGTCTAGCCTATAGGACATCTCAAACCTCTCCCTCCACTCCCTCTGAAAAAGAAAGCCATTAATTTACAGTGTTACATTATCCTGACAAAGTGGTGGGAAGGTGGGCGGGTGGGTAAGCAGAGAGGGAGGGTAACTCAGTCAGAAGAATGCCAACCAAGGACAAGAGAAGAATGGCCAGAAGTAGACTGTCTTTGTTACTACTTTCCTAATAACCAAGGCTCAAGGACATCAATGCAATGTTAAAACCACTACAGAAAAAATAGCTGGGGACAGGATGACAGGATGTTCACATGGTCTCACTCTACCCAATCACCATAGGAAAGAACTGCAATGGAGGACTGATGGGAGAAACTTAAAAATTTCCCCAAATTTGTTGCCTTTATCCCTCCACTGCCAGAACACAGTCCAAGAATGGAGCTGTGTGAGTACTGAGTGCCTGTGAGAAAACTCTAAGAAAACAAGTCAAGAGTCTTGTGACTTCAGTGCTTTCAAAGCACAAAATTGTTCTTAGAATATGGTTTTGTGCTCCTCCCTGGTATATTGGATAGGTGTGCATTTGCTTCAGATTACTCAGTGTCTACTGCTGCTATTATTCAATTGCCTCTGTGGAAAAACATGGTTTTGTCATATGCAACTCGTCCTTATGATTGTTCACTTTATTCATGTGATTCTTTTAACGCTCAGGGTATAAACTGTCTGATGCTCTGAATAAAGTTGGCTATTGCATGAGGCTTTAGTCTACTTCATCTTTAGAATCCATTCTTCAGGGACCCACTGCTTCTAGAGAAGTGAACATTCCACTGTGACCCTGAGGACAGTACACCTGTGGTTTTACCATGTCGCAAGGAAACATGGATTCTTAAGATCTGAATTTATCAGAAAGATTATCTGGGTGGGCCCTTTAATAGCTATTTCCTCTGGCTGGATAGGAGCAGAAGGTTCAGTGTGAGGAGAGAGACTGCTATTCTGAACACAGAAGGCTCAAAGATGTGGGCAGCGTCTAGGAACAAAAGGGGGTATCTGTCTTATAGTCCCAGGAAAGAAATACAGATCTCAGACATAAACAGTTTGACCCAGATTCATTTACGCACAACAGGAAGTGGCATAGCTGGATCACATTTTACTTTTACTGTTTATTTTGTTTTTGGTTTGTTATTTTTTGAGATAAAGTCTCATATAGCTCAAGCTGGCTTCATATATGTAGCCAAAGATATCCTTGACCTCCAGTCTTTTTATATAGCAATTCAGTGGTTCTCAACCTGTGGGTATCGCCCTCTTTGGGGGTGTCAAAGGACCCTTTCACAGGGGTGACATATCCGATATTTACATTACAATTCATAACAATAGCAAAATTACAGTTAGAAAGTAACAATGAAATAATGTTATGGTTGGGGTCACCACAGTGAGGAACTGTGCGAAAGGGTCACAGTATTAGAAGGCTGAGAACCACTGCTCTAAGTGCTGGGATTACAGGTCTGCTCCACTTTTAGTTTTGAGGCAACTCTGTACTGACTTTGCTATTATCTGTAACCCCTTACATTCCCACCAACAGTGTGTATGGGCTCCTTTCACCTCCATCCTTGCCAACACAGATTAGATATCTATATACCAAGGGCATAACTGCATTTATGTAGCATCCCTGACAAAAACACTTAGCCCAAATCTAATGTGAGAATAATCAAAGCAAACTGAGAGTAACACTTGGTACCACTGTGGAGACTGAAGGGCTGGAACATGTTTACTGAAAAACCTCTACTGCAAATTCACCTTAGGAGATGCATGCTGGTACATTCAGGGGTGAGATTTTATGAGGTCTCAAGTGGTTTAACCAAAGAAGGAAAAAAAGGCTATGAATATATGTCATACATACATACAGATATAAATAACACATATGGCGAATATCAGTAATTGGTGAATCCAAGTAAACACCAAGGTAGGACTTTGGGTTTTGTTGTTGTCTGACTTTTGAGTAGTGCTAGCAGTTGAACTTAGCCTTGTGCATGCTGGGTTAAGTCTCTGTCACTGAACTAACTCCTAGCTGATCTGAGTCTTTAAAAACTTACACTACTTACTTTGTGTGTGCACGAGCACGGGTGTGGAGGTCTTAGACAAGCAGCATAGTCATCTCCTTACTTTGACTGTGGGTCGTAGGATAGAACTCAGGGCAGCAGGCTTGGAGACAAGCACTTCTATCTACCTCACAAACCCATACATAGGGCTTTTTTGATTTTTCCAGACAGGTTCTCTCTGTGTAGCCTTTGCTATCCTGGAACTCACTCTGTAGGGCAAGCTGGCCTCGAACTTACAGATCTGCCTGCCTCTGTATCCCCAGTGCTGGAGAGGGTCTTAATATATTCATTAATCCAACTTTTCTGTAGGTTTGAAATTGTTTCAAATATTTCGCATTTTAGCTAGGGAAGAAAGAAAACCTTTACATAAAATATATATTCAGTTAATCAAAACACAATTTTAAAACATAGAACATATTTTCTATATGAACAAATTTCTGGTCATTTTTCTTGCTCCTTTTGAATATTTTGTTCAAAATACAAGTAATTTCAGGACTGGTGATGTTTAAATATATTTTACCAAATGAAAAGGAATCTTGAATATATACACTATTTAACTCTAGTGAGTTATTTACTGTTTTAATTATGCTGTGATAACTATGAATAAAATAAGTGGACAGTCAGAACTGGAGATATGGCTCAGTGGTAAAGAGTGTGTATTGTTTTTGCAGAATAAAACCTGAGTTTTACACTTAGTACCCAACCAGGTACTGGCTGACAACTGCCTGGAACTTCAACTCCAAGAGATCTAACATTCCTTGGGCACATACACAGACAGATACATGTACACATAAAATTTTTAAAAAGCACATTTTTTAAGTTAAAGAAAGCATTTAGGTTCAATCCTCTTATACCCCCCCATAACAAATTGAACAGTCCACAGCCATTGTCAATCAGGACATACATCTTTTAAAGTCTCTGAGGACTACATTTGTTCTTCATAATACCTTTAGTAGATAAGACTTGTAGACTAAACCATTTTAACACTTACCCCAACAAAGCTCCAATTATACCACCAGCCACCAGGCCTCGAACACCTAGGTTTACTCTGAAAAGACCTCCTGTGACAGCTATTTAAAAGGGAAAAAGGCAATATTAAATCACCTTGAAACATACACTTCTTTTACAGACCTCTAATTAAGCTTTTGGAACCCAACACGAACAATGTAGTAACAGCAAATAACGGTAACTTTCTGTTTACTTTCCATTCAAAGGAAGAAAAAACTCTGTACATACCCTTAGTCTCCCTATAGCACTAATCCCATTCTACTTTTTGTTTGTTTGTTTGTTTCTGGGTTTTTTGTTTTGTTTTCTTGTGGGGTTTTTTTTGCCCATTTTCTTTTAAAAGTCCATAGTTCATTTCACCTTTCCCCATGTCTTTCACCTCTAGGTCTTACTTCTTTAAGGCAACTTTGTCCAAAATTAAGAGACAACAGAAATAACAACCCCCTTCACTTGCCTCTTCCTAGCCTCACTCCATCTGTACTGACTGCTTGCTATACTGTGCCACCAGACAGACATGCAGAGGCAGCAGTTAGCGTACAATGCCACCTGGTGACCAAAAAAAGGAGTGTGCCTCTTTTCACTGGAATTCCATTTCTAGGAATACTTGTTTATTTCCCTTTTTAAAAACAGAGTCTCCAATGCAGCCAGTCCTGGTTAGACCTGATAGACTAGGGTCAGATGGAAGGGGAGGAGGACCTCCCCTATCAGTGGACTTGGGGAGGGGCATGAGAGGAGAAGGAGGAGGGAGGGTGGGATTGGGAGGAGACAAGGAAGGGAGCTACAGCTGGGATACAAAGTGAATAAATTGTAATAAATTAAAAATAAATAAATAAATTTAAAAAGTAAAACAAAACACACACACACACACAAAAAAAAACCACCACCACCAACAACAACAACAACAACAGGGTCTCATGTAACCCAGGCTGGCTTCAAATTCAGTAAGGGGCTGAGAATGACCTCGAACTTCTGATCCTCGGGCCTCTACTTTCTTAGTGTTGAGATTACAGTAGCCATGCACTACCTCTTCGAGTTTCCGTGGTGCTGAGGATTAAAGCCAGTGCACAGTGCATGCTGAGCAAGCATTCTACCAGCTGTGCTACACACATCCAGCTATTTTCCCCCTTTAGAACTAATGTCATCTTAGGGGGTAAAAAAAATTTAGGTGTTTTATCTGGGGTTTATATTTCTATTTAACTATTATATATTCATTTAATTTTTTCTAAATTAATTTTTTTACTTAACAAGAACAAAACCACTTTTCATCTCATTACTCAGCAATAGTATATGGCTAGTGTTCCAAATAAAATACTTTTAAAAAACAAAATGGGGCCATGTTATATATATATTAAACTTTTAATTTTCTTGAATATATTATTACATTCTCTTAGCACTAAATTTTTAGTTTTTGACATTAAAATTTCCCATGATTCTACTGCTTAAACATAACACAAATTTTTGTCTCAACACCAGTTTTCTATTTGTAAATGGATAAATAAAGGCACTCATGCACATAAATATACAATTGACCACTTCCTTAAAAAATGAACTCACCATCTAGAATTATGGGACAAGAGGTATAACCATTTTTATTTTAAAGATAAATTTTTATTTCTGAGTGTGTATTTGGGAGGGTATGGTAGTACACCAGCTGGTAACTACAGAGTTATCTCTCCAGTCTCCAGGTGTGATGGTTAATCTGGGTTGTCAACTTGACTATATCTGAAATTAACTAAAACCCAAAAATGAAGAGGCACACCTGTGAGAAGCTTTTGCTTAATTTGAAACAGGAAGATTCACTTTTAATCCAGATCTTTGAGGTGGGAAGACATACATCTCTAATCTGGGGTCTGCCTTCTACGAGAAGCCTATCTAAGGACAGGAAGAAAGAAGCTTTTGATCTTTGCCTGCTTGCTCTCACCTTGCTAGCAAGTCCATTCCCTCAATGGATTAAAGCCTACTTCTTTGTGACTCTGACATACACTGAAGACCAGCTGAGACGCCTCATGGACTGAACAACTACTGGATTCTTGGACCTTCTATTCTTAGGCAGCCATTGTTGTGATTATCTGGCCCAGAATAAATCCCCTTTCTATATATATGAGAGAGAGAGTAAGTTCTGTTATTCTAAGAAAGCCTGATTAATACACTAGAGTATGAACATTTTTAAGGCTCTAATTTTACATTACTACACTGCTATTCAAAAGGTTACAAAAAAGGTAATTCCAATTAAAAGTATGCAAGGTACAAGGTGTTTTTGTTTAGAAAAACAAAAACATGAGAATGAGAATCTTGTATAGGACAAGCTGGCCTCAGGTTTGTGATCCTCTTGCCTCAGTCTCTCAAGAGCTCGGATTAAAGGTATATATAACCACATATGGATCTTCTGCATTCTGAGTTTACAGTTCGCAATTCACAGGCTTTAAAAATGCCATCTTAAATTACATTTCTCTAACTCAAAGGGAAAGGTGTGCTTATTAGTTACCTTTGTTGCTTATTAGTTACCTTTGAGTTAAAAAGTCATGTCTGTTTAATCTCCAATTGAGACAGCTATTCTTTTTGAGACATAAGGACTTTTACTGAGTAATATCTGAACATATTATTCCTCAGGGATCATTTAACATTTAATGTCTTCTGTAGTATTTTCTGTCGGTCAAAACTATGGCACTTATATTTTCCCCTAACATTTCATCAATTTTTTACCTAAAATATTTTAATGAAGCTAAAATTTTCTTATGTTGAATATTACTGCATTTTTATTTCTTTCACATAGGTAAATAATTGATCCAGTCCAGGAACTGTCAATTCTCTCTTTGTGTACCTAAAATATCATCTTTAATTTAGATATGCCTGGACACTTAGTCTTTATTTTTGATTCTTTGAATTCTGTCCAACAGCTATGCAAACAACCCCAGTATTCTATATGTCATAAATTTTATTCACGTTTTGATTTTGGATGGCAAGATCTCCTTAATTCTTTTTTGCTATGCTCACAGAACCTGTATTTTGGACAGGTGTTACATATTTTATCAAGTTCTCTATTAAAAACAACTATAATTTTCATTTCATTGCTCTCCACTTAAAAATTGAGAAGAAAAAGCCGGTCTGTTTTTTTCCAGTGAATGGCTCAGTGTCTGACATTTTGTCGTAGGCTTTCCTAGATAGTACAGCCGCTAACAAAACTGGCTATCCCGAACCCCTGGCCACAGGATTGCTTACCTTTATATCAAGAAGACTGGGAAGTCACCTAAGTCTGCACATGGTGTGTGCCAGGCAGACCTCAAGGGTTTTTGCTAAGATTTACGGTCCTTATGAGACTGTCTAAAACAGAGAAGGAAGTCAGCAGGGCCTGCAGTGGCTCCATGTGTGCTAAGTATGTCCCTGATAGGATCAGACAGGATTTTCTTACTGAGGAACAGAAACTTTTGAAAGTGCTGTAGGCACAGCAGAGAGTCAGAGAGCAAAATAAATATGAAACTTTTAAAATAGTAATAATCAAGGCTCATTCAGAAAAACCCAGAAGTTTAAACATAAACTCTCTAGTGGTAAATCTTTGTGGTTCTTTTTCCTGGAGTTTGCTGAATTTCTAATTCAAATCTGGAGATTCTATTGTGTTTCTTTCTCCCAAACATTGTTCCTGCTTCCTTTCCCTTTCCTTTCTATCTGGTGTTTCCATTACATGTGCGTACGTACACTCAATGTATTTTCTTCAGTGTAAAATTCAGATGAAATAATCTATACTCATCTAGCTTCAAGTTCATTCAACTCTGTTCCATAAAAAAATTACAGCCAGGCTTGGTGGTTCATACCTTTAATCCCAGGCAGCTCTCAGAGTCTGAGGCTAACCTGGGCTACAGAGCCAGTTTCAGGACAGCCAGAGCTATACAGAGAAACCCTGTCTCAAAAAAAAAAAAAAATTTCATATTTAGTCTTACTCTATAGTCCACACTGCACTCAACAACTTGAGGCATCCTCCTGCCTTTGCTCTCCAGTTGCTGAGTTACAGCCATGAGTCGTCATATCTGGCTAATTCTTTCCTCTGCTATCTTAAATCTATGGTTGAGTTCTTATCCAGTAAACTTTTAAAAATATTTTTGTGAGTGTAAAAATGCACATTTATGTATTTGTGTATGTGTGCATGTTCATTCGTGCTTGTGCGCAAATGTATCACAGCATGTACGTAAAATTCAAAGGTCAACTTCAGGTATGGGTCCACACTCTCCACTTAGTTGAGACAAGATCTCTATTGTTTTTCTACCACTTGGAGTAGGTTGGCCCGGGCTCCAAAGCATCTAAGGAGACTCTTATCTCTGTAGCCCATCTCCCAGTAGGACTGTTGGAGTTACAGATACTTGTGCTATGTATCCAACTCTCACATGTATTCTGAGGATTTGAACTCAGGCCCTTACATTTGCATGGCAAGTGCTTTTACCCACTGAGTCCTATCCCTAGCCTAGCAATGAACTTTTAATTTCCACTGCTGCATTACCAACACTATCTATTTTTATTACTTTAAAATTTTCTATCTTTATTCATCTTCTTCACTTGATGACTCATCATCATAACATTTTGATTTGACATTGAGTTCTTTTGTTAGCTCTTTCCAAGAGATATTCTGTTCAGAATCAATTTCCACCCTACCTCCATTTTCTTGTTGTTACTACTGTTGAAAATGAATGTTTTTGTTTGTTTGTTTGTTTGTTTTTTTCTTTTTGAGACACAGGCTCATGGGGTCCAGGCTAGCCTCAAATTCTCCATGTAGACAAGAATGAGCCTGAGTTACTGATCTTCCTACCTTCATCTCCCAACTGCTGGGATTATGGGCACGTACTCCGACCTCCAGCTTGAAAATCCACAACTCTTGAATTGAACCATGTCCCTCGCATAACTGTGCTTCTGCACTCTGGCAGTGACTTGCCTAGATCAAACCTATGCATTTTCCTGAAGAGCACAGCCACTGTGTCTGTTCTGAGTTTTCATTTCTATGTCTGGTTCCCTGGGAAGAGTCACTTAACAATTTCTCATGAGTTGTGACTAAAGCTTCTACCTTTGGCCAACAAATTTGTCTGTAACTTTGAAAAATGCATTTAAACTTCAGTTTACATTATCTTTTCTGACTTTTACTTTCTGTGTCCACAAGAACTCAATACAGCTAAAAGAAAGTAGTTTGCAAGGCCCACACTAGTCTTTCCCAAACACACATAGGTCTTTATTATTGCTGTTTGCTTTTGTTTTTTAATTTTTAAAAGTCTTTATATGCTGCCTGGGTTGGCTTTAAACTCAACCAAGTCTCCTATTTCTGCCTCTCAAGCAGGCATCTCTGGCTTAATTGTCTCAACAGCTCCATTAAAATTCAGCCTGGTTTGGTAGTCTCTGGCTTGTCCTAAACAGCACCAAAACCTTAGGCTAGCTGTTCCCAACTGTAACCGTTTTAAACAACTTCCTAGATATGGACTTTCCTGTGCTCTGTTCCAGACTGCTCAAAGTGCAGGGATGACAGGCATCTGTCACCACTTGGCTCCTATGCTCCGTTTTAAGTGTATCACCACTTAAAGTGGAAATAAAAAAAGCTTTAAATAAAACTAAACTCTTACTATGAGAAAATCTGATCCTTCCTACTCCACATCCCAATCCTACTTCACATCACCTCCAGCTACTTCCTTCCTTGTGCTTGAAATGTGAGCCTGCTTCCACATACATCCCTAGTGATTTCCTCTTGATGTTCCTGTTTAGCCCACTATCCTCAACAATTTGCTCCTTCCCAATCCGCAGGTGTCAGCTTAAATGATCTGAAAGGCCTTCTCTCATGTTACATCCATGTCCCACCTATTTGCTACTTTCTGTCATAGGATCTGTTTTTTTACCATCCTCATGGGCAAAATTTAATGAAAGCAAAGATCTTGTCTGCTTAAATAACTACCAAAAGTCAACCACGAGGCTATTCATAAGTATATTTTGTATGAATGTTGAATAGGATATAGTGTGAAATCAGTAAAAAAAAAAAAAAAAAAAAAATTGAAATTCTGATTCATAAATCCTATATATTCTAAACTATGCTTGAAATTAAAATGTGAACAAGAATAAAACTACACAGTCGGGCACAGTGGCGCATGTCTTTTTGCATGTCTTTGATCCCAGCACTCAGTGAGGCAGAGGCAGGTGGATTGCTTTGAGTTCAAGGTCAGCCTGGTCTATAAAGTGAGTCTAGGACAGCCAAGGCTACATAGAGAAACCCTGTCTTGAAAAAACAAAAACAAAAACAAAAAAAAGAAAGAAAGAAAGAGTAAAAAAAAAAGGAAAAAGAATAAAACAACCTTACCTCCTGCAATGACAAAATGGCTCAAGGCATCTTTATTTCGATACACAGTTAATCCAGTGTTTACTGTGCTGGGAAGAAAGGAGAAAAAAAGAAAACATTTCATTCAAAGTACATGCCATTCACTTTCTTAATTGCTATTTTCACCGAAATGAGTTTTAAAATATCCTATTACAACTAAGGAGGAGCTAAGTTGGTAGAGTGCTTGCTTATCATACAAAGTCTGGGTTTAATCCCCACATCACATGAGACTAGCCATGGTAGCTCAACCCTGCATTTGGGATCTTGAGGCAGGAGAATCAGAAATTCAAGCTAATCCTCAGCTACACATCAAGTTCAAAGCCAGATTGGGCTACATGAGACCATGTCTTAGCCCACAGCAGTTCAGTGTCCAAGTGGGTTCCATAGTAATGGGAACAGAGACTGCCTCTGACATGAACTGACTGGCCTGCTCTTTGATCACCTCCCCCTGAGGGGGGAGCAGCCTTACCAGGCCACAGAAGATGACAATGCGGCCACTCCTGATGAGATCTGATAGACTAAGATCAGAAGGAAGGAGAGGTGGACCTCCCCTATCAGTGGACTTGGGGAGGGGCATGCATGCAGAAAGGGAAGGAAGGGTGGGGTCGGGAGGGGAGGAGGAAGGGGCTTATGGGGGGATACAAAATGAATAAAGTGTAATAAAAAATAAAAAAAGAAGGCAAAAAAAAGTCATTTCACTCATTAAGTCCATTTTTCCCATTAAATCTTTATGCATACTTAAAATAGCTGTTGTGGAGTAGCTGTCTGCTAGCTGTAACACATTTGCCATCTATACTCTGGCATTTATTGATTTTTCTACCACTCTTGCTTTAGGTCATATTTACTGTCCTTTTGTGTCTTATAGCCTTTATTAAATGCAGACTTTGTTGATACTGTTTCTGGGAGTCCAGACTGAAATGTCAGAGTGCTGCATTTTATGCAAGCAGGATAATTAGCTGGAATATAAAGGTGATTGATTTGAAACTTGATAGTTTCAGGTTGCATTAGGATGTGAAAACCTGGTGGTTTGACTTCATGTTATGGTGATTCTTGCAAGTTGATCTTGGACTGCCACATGCACACTATGACACTGGTATTCACACGTGCACACGCACACGTACACACACACAAATGTAAAAAAGGTATTATGAATATTTTCATGTGAGAGTTCAGTTTCATAATACCTCTTGCTCAAAGGATGCCATCACTCATAAAAGAACATGGGCATGGTGGCATGGTAATTCCAGGACAAGGAAGACTAAGGCAGGAGAATCACAAGTTTGAGGACAGCCTAGACTACATGAGTTCTAGGTCAGCAAGACACTACCTCCCCTCCCCGCTGCCAAAAAAAAAGATGAAGAGTCTTTATAACTGAAAACTTACTTGAATATAGTCACAAAGACTGCTGTTCTCCAACTCCAACGCCATCCATACCGAATGAAGCCCCTTGTGGCAGCACGGTGTGCACTTTGCTAAAAATAATGTGTTAAAATGCTGTGAGGTTCCAAAATACCTTGACCATTTTCCTTATTCTAAAACTTTAATGACAGAAATCTTAGCTGCAAATTACTCAAGTATCCTGTGGTGATTTGAAAAGATATGGCTCCCATAGACTCATGTGTTTCAATACTTGGTGACAAGAGAGTTGCACTATTAAAAGGTACAGCCTTGTTGGAGGAAGTATGTCACTGTGGAGGCAGGCTTTAAGGTCTCATATGCTCAAGTTATACCCACTGTGGCATACAGTCACCTGCCTGTGGATCAAGTTGTAAACTCTCAGTACCTTCTCCAGCACAATGTCTGCCTGAATATTACAATGTTTCTCCCCATTACAACAATGGACTAAACCTCTGAAGCTGTAAGCTGGCCAGCCCATTTAAATATTTCCCTTTATAAGAGTTGTGGTCATGGTGTCTCTTCACGGCAATAAAATCCATACTAAGACATAAAGCTAGACAAAAATACAGAAAAAAAAAATTTCTAGAGCTATCACTAAGTACTAACAGTTGAGCAAAAGACGTGGGAGACTGAGACAAAGGGGTGAAGCAGTTGGCTCCTCCCTATTTGAGAGACAGCTTGGTCTTCTCACACAGTGCTAGCTACATCCCTGAGACATGATGGTGAAGGCTGGGAAAAACATATTTAGCTATACAAAAAAGGGCCTACTTTTTTTGTTTGTTTTTTGGGACAGGGTTTCTCTATGTAGCCTTGGCTGTCCTGGACTAGCTTTATAGACCAGTCTGATCTCAAAATCATAGCGATCATCTGCCTCTGCCTCCCAGAGTGCTGGGATTATAGGTGTGTGACACTGCGCCTCTTTCCAGACCTATTTTTAACCTCGAGAAAGAGGTATTGTCACTATCAGTGACCCTTCATTAATGTCAACGATGTGGTCTACATGTTCCAGTATGATTCCACCCACGGCAAGTTCCACAGCACAGTCAAGGCTGAGAATTAGAAGAAACTTGTCAAAGGGAAGGCTATCTCCATGTTCCAGGAGTGAGATCCCATCAACATCAGATGAAGCAATGCTGATGCCAAATACACTATAGTCTACTGGTGCATTCACTACTATAGAGGAGGCCAAAGCTCACTTGAAGGATGATGCCAAACACGTTATCAGAGTGGGCACACCCTTCCACCTTTGATGCTGAGGTCACTGCCCTCAATGACCACTTTTTCAAGCTCATTTTCTGATATGACAACCAATTTGGTTGGGCAACAGAGTGGTGGATCTCATGCCCATCTGGCCTTCAAGAAGCAGCTCTGGACCACCCAACCTAGCAAGAACACAAGAGGAAAAGAAAAGACCCTTGGTTGCTGGGTCCCAACTCAGCCCCCAGTGCACTGAGCATTTCCTCAAAATTTCCACCCCAGGCCCTCAGAAGAAGAGCTTAGGGAGTCCTACTCTCAAGTACCATTAACAAAGTTAACAGCTGGGGTTGGAGAGATGGCTCACCAATTAGTACTTGCTGCTCTTCCAGAAAACCAGGTTCAGTTCACAGCACTCACACGGTGACTCACAACAATCTATAACTCCAGTTCCATAAGATCCAACACCCTCTTCTGACTTCTGCAGATAGCAGGAATGCCCACGAAACATGTATATGTGTGTATGTGCGTGTCTGTATATATATATATATGTGTGTCTGTATATACATATATACGTAGACAAAACACTTACACATATTTAAAAAAATACTTCACTGTAACTCAACCCCCCAGGAAAAGAAAGAAGGAAAGAAAGAAAGAAAAAGAGCTCAAGAAGAATGGCTTCAAAAGGAAAAATAGGCCAGTTTCAGTAGATATAGTGGCACATACCAGTGATCCTAGCACTCAGGAGGCAAAGGCAGGTGGATTTCTGAGTTCAAGATGAGCCTCATCTATACAGTAAGTTCCGGGACAGCCAGAGTTACATGGAGAGACTCAAGTGCTAGTTAGGCAGTAACCACAATGACAGCTATGTAGCCACCAAAGCCTGACAACCCCTGAGTCCTGGACCCCACATAAAAAGCTGGATGCGGTGGCCTGCATCCGAACTGCAGCACTCCTACAGCGAGGCAGGTAGAGACAGGGGATCACCTAGAAACTTGATGGTCAGTTAGCCTACAGTACACAACTGTACACAGAGCAGTGGTAGAAACAAGAGTGACACTGCCTCTTCAAGGTAGAAGGTGATTCACGCCATTGTCCTCTGAATTCCATGAACTTGTGCACACACATGCACACACACACAAATAAAAAGGTACATGCTACCTCATTTCCTCTTAACAATATTCTCCTCAGGAAAGTGTTTTAGTTCTAACTAGCACTTCAATGGGAAGTTTACCACCACTGTCGTTAGGGTGCTAAGGAGTAACTTCAGAACTGAAAGGTATGCTGCCTGCCTCCACAGCACATGTTCACCCATTAGCCCATTATACAGCAGGTCTGGTATATCATGAGATACTGTTTGTATTTGTAAGGATTGTGAGAAAAACCACGTGAAGATCCTAACTCCTATATGATCTTGGGCAAGTGAAAACTTTCCTAAGAAGTATCAGTATCGGGGCTGGGGGAGTTAGAGAGAGAGCTCAGCAGCTAAGACTACCTGCTGCACTTGCAGAGGACCTGAGTTTGGTCCCCAGCACCCATGTGGGGCAGGTCACAACTCCAGGTATTGTTAGCTCTGATGATCTGCTCTGGCCTCTGCAGGCACATACCCATACATGGTACACACACACACCTCCGAACTCTTGTCTGCCCTCAGTCTAAAAGCAGTAATACCCTGGAAGAAAAGAGCACACCGAGGACCCCAGTCTTGCTTTCTAAAAACTATTCTTCCTTAAAAGAAATCTTAGCTTCACCAGATGTGATAGAGCATACCTTTAAACACAGCACTGGGGAGGTGAAGGCAGGAAGATCGTTGTGAATTTGAGTCTAGCATGGGCTACATCACAAGTTCCAGAACAGCCAGAACTAGAAAGAGAGACCTTGCCTAAAACAAAAACAAAAACAAAAGTTCCTTGGAGAAATGGCTATTTTCAAGAGCAGCAATAAGAGAGTAAAAGTTGGGCCAGCCAGGAATAGTGAGCTGAAAACCGGACTGGACTACAAAGCAAGACTCTTCTTAAAACAAGACAAAGCAATCAAACAAACAAAACACATCTCAAGGAATTACTTAAATGGGATCCAACTGTCCCAATACAAGGCCACTAAGTATTAGAATAAAAGACAATGATGGAATATAACTCTACTGAATAAATAAGAAATTCTGAGAACACACAGATAGAATTCTACAAGCAATATAGAAGAATCACACACTTCATAGCAACACTCTGGTCATAGCAGATCACTCAAGGAGATGGCCTATTAACCTTGTGGCTACCCTAGTTTGTGCAGTACATTCTGAAACTCACACAATAACAAAATTACCTAACACATTTCTCAGAACAATTCATTAGTACTAATTAAGTAAAAAGATAATATTAAGTGAATATATATAATAGAGTGCTACTACTTAGGACAACGCTAACCAATGAATGTAAAAATATGCCAGAAATAGCAAATTCCATTTGACAATTATGATAGTAAAAAACTTACTTCAAGTAAGAATGAATTCAATTCTAAAACTATAGGGTAGGTGAAAATCAGATATTTAAAAACCAAAAAAACAAAAAACAAAAAAAAAACGTATTTACTGTAAAATATTTACTTCTTTAAAAGAAATAAACATACAATTTATATTATAAGAACATGGCAAATCTCATCTTAACCAAGTAACTGAAGTTAACACCAAGAAACAAATAGGATGTGCTTCTGATACAAGGTACTGAAATCTCAATCCGATGGTACTCCTGCCAAAAAACAAGTCTAAATCTTTTTTTCCACTGCGTACCTCTGTGAGTGTGTGTGTGTGTGCGCGTGCAACAACTGTGTCCCAACATGCACAGGGAGGTCAGACAGCAATTTATTAAGTCTGATCTCTCCATTCCACTATCCTGACCAAACTCTAGTTGTCCAACTCGGCAGAAAGCACCTTTAGCCTCTGAGCCATCTCAAGGCCCACAAATCTGAATTTTATACTCAGAAACCATCAAGCAAATCTAAACTGAGGGGCATTCTACAAATGGTCCATAATCTTTACAATTGCCCAAGGGCAAGACTGACAGAGAAACTGTTTCAGACTAATGGATTCTAAGGCAAATTCAATATGTAATTGACTATTAAGATGCTAAACCACACACACAAAAAATTACCTTTCTTTTAAATAGATAAATTGAAGTAGGACATTTATCTAGATATTCAGCATTAGTACTTCCATTGCTACTAAGTATTAATCTAATTTCTTCAACCTAACATTCTAAAATCCTCCCAACCTAAGACCTGATGGAAATGAAGCATAAAGAGAATGGTTAAGGGCTGGAGAGATGGCTCAGTGGTTAAGAAAACTGAATGGTCTTCCAGAGGACCCGAGTTCAATTCCCAGCACCCACACAGCAGCTCACAACTATCTGTGACCCCAGGATCCAACACCCTCACACAAACATGCATGCAGGCAAAACACCAATGCACATAAAATAAAAATAAATGAATTAAAAAAGAGAGAGAGAAATAGTCAAATTGGTTTGCCCCTAACTAGACCATCAATACTTACCACAGCATCAAACCGGTTATGATAAATCTCCGCTTGGCTCTGCTCAATGTATTGCTTTTTAGCATGAATAAAAGCAGGTATTCCTCCATATGCCCAGCCAATGATGCCTGCTGAAACCGCTGCCCTGCAGATATAGTCAACTTCCTTTGAAATTCTCTGTTGTTCACTAAAATAGCAAAAAGCAAATGTTGTTAGGAAATTATCTAAAACACCACGTTCAGAATTATCCCAAATGCGTACACCACATCTTTTGTTATGAGCAGAACTGATTGAACCCTTCTGTGAATTAAGGAAGGCAGCACATGGTGAACATGGCGTAATGGTGGATATCTGTAATTACAGCATTCAGGAGGCTGAAGTAGAGAGAATCATGAGTTTGAGTTCACCCTGTGTTACATAATGAGTCCCTGTTGCAAAAACAAAAAGCAAAAGCAACCTACAATGTTACAAACTAGGATAATAATTATGCTCCGGAAGAAGGGCAGAAAGGGAGCTTCTGGGATACTGATAACAGTTGTTGTGTTGCTTACACAAATATGCTCATTTATAAAATTTATAAATACACTTAGGTAGATTTTTCTAAATATATAATACAACCCTAGAAATAAAAATCTTTGAATTGGATTAATATTTTCATTAAAATTCTAAGCTAATAAATACATGAACTCATGAGTTTTTTGTTCGTTTTATTTTTTGAGACAGGGTTTCTCTGTGTAGCTCTGGCTGTCCTGGAAAACACTCTGTAGACCAGGCTGGCCTCAAACTCACAGAGATCCTCCTACCTCTGCCTCCTAAATGGTGGGATTAAAGGCAAGCACCACCATTGCTCAGCTTGAATCCATGATATTTTTAAGAGAAATATATAACATATGGATTTTAAATAACTGAAATGTGGATTCTAAAGATGTCAAAATGCAGAGGCAGGAGATACAGTTCAATGGGTGAGAGTACTTGCTCCACTTGCAGAAGGCCCAAGTTCAGTTCCCAGCACCCACATAACGGTTCATATCCATAGCTCCAAATCCAGGGGATCTGACTTTCCTGGCCTCCTAGGGTACGAAGCACCTACACATTGCATGTATATACATGCAAACATTCAAACACATGAAGTAAAAAGTGAATAAATAAAATTTAAGAACTAAAAGAAGTCAAAATCTAAACACTGGTTTATGATCTACTCAGACTCTCACTACAAAAAGCACTGGAAGCTAACCCAATGGCCCCGGCCTGTAGTCACGAAGCTTGAAAGGGCTGAGGCAGGAAAATCAGAGTCCAGGAGTTCCAGGCTCCCTGAAGAGCACAGTGAGAGCCATCTCTTTATTGAGAAAGCATCTCACATTGCCCAGAAACTCCTGATCCTCCTGCCTCTATCTCCCAATGGCAAGGCAGGCTGTGCTACCATCCCTAGCTTTAAAAACATAAAAGAAAAAAAAATTACTGATAAAATTTACTATGCAGTAGGCAGCATAGGCCAATCTAAAACAAGAAGGAACTGTTTAATTCAAATTATGCCTCTCAAATACATAAAAAACTATTACTTTAAGAGTTTCCAAGATGGCCTCTTAAAATGGTTCAATAAAGCACTCCTATAGTGAGCCTCCTAAACAAGCCATTACTTAGATGACTAGCTTTCTTATTCTCAATCACTACACTCTTCCTTTGTGTACAAGTAACTTAAAACTTTTGGAAAACAAACCCTTACATTTACATTAATAGGAAAACAGTCATAATTTATTATTTATGCATTTTACATTGAACAGATTTTTTTAATTTTTATTTTAATATTTATTTATTTATTTATGCATACAAGTACTCTATCTGCATGTACACTTGCATGCCAGAAGAGGGCATCAGATCACCATATAGATCATTGGGAGCCACCATGTAGTTGCCAGGAATTGAACTCAGGATGTCTGGGAAGAGCAGTCGGTGCTTTTAACCTCTGAGCCATCTCTCCAGCCCCTGAACAGAATTTCTTAAATCATCTGCATAAAACAGTAAAACTCAGGAAAAAAAAAAAAATGTTAAAAAAAAAAATCTCAAAGTTTAACAAGCCAGGAGATATCCATGCTTTGCCTTGTTAACCCTTTGAATAGTTCAGTGAGTGATATTCACCTCAAATATACTGCCATAAAGGCTCAACCTGAGTGTGGCAGTACACTCCTGGAATCCCAGCACTTGGAAGGAGGCAGAGGGAGGGTCAGGAGTTCAAGGTCATTCTCGGCAACATGGGCATTTGAGGCTAACAAGGCCTATAAAAACCCCATCTCAAAGTTCCCCCAAGAAACAAAATTAAAAAAATATAGGAATAAGTAAAGGCTCTAAAATGTCACAAAGTCAGCCCAAACAGCTATTCGTGAAAAGGCAACAGACTCAGAAACTGGATAGGTCTGGATTTAGAAACAGCGGGTTGTAATCTGGAATTTCTGCTAAGTAGCATGCAGCCAGAACAATCTCTTTTGATTTTTCCTTCTCACATCATGGGAAAAAGCATAAAAATTGCATTAGATTACTATCCAAGTTCCTTTCCATTTCAATATTATTATGGTTTATAATACTGATAAAAATGGCCATCTCTGTGAGTCATGGTAGTACATGCCTGTAATCCCAGCAATTGAGAGGTGGAAGAAGGTTATCATGGTCTAATAGGTCTGCTTGGCCTCAAAAAATAAATCTACTATTTCCTCTTACACACTACATAAAATTTTTCAAAACTATACAAACTTTTGGAAGGATCTTTGGGAAAAACTGATGTATTTCTTAAAACAAAGATGATGGGGGTTGGGGCGATGGCTCAGCAGGTAAAAGCACATGTGCTGCTCTTCCAGAGAGACCAGGTTCCATTTCCAGAACCCATGTGGCATCTCACATTGTCTGTAACTCCAGTTCCAAGAGATCCAACATCAGGCAGGCAGGCATGGGGTACATACATGCAAGCAAAACATCCACAGCCACAAAGTAAAAATAAGTTTAAAAAGACAAAAAGGTGATGAAACTAATAGAATAATTAAATACAAGCCTGCCAGCACTCTTGCAACAACTTATTTAATCACTTGATATCACAGTATATTATGGTAAATTATTTCATGAAAAGATAAATTTTACCCAGTTACTAATAAAGTTAAACAAATGTTAGGTGGAAGTAATGCAAAGAGTTACTGATACTCTTCACACTGTTTATCTTATTATCTTCTGAAAAGTGAGATATATCTGAGCTTGTAGCATGTAATATTTAATCCCCCCAGCAGGGCAAAGAGAGGGTGAGCCTAGAAGCAATCCGGGAGTCTGAGAATGAATTGTTGCTTTAAGTTCCAGGCCAGCCTGGTCTACAAGTTCAGCCAGGATCACAAAGCAAGACCCTGTCTCTAAAAGGAGAGTTGGGGGGCTAGAGAGATGGCTTGGCAGTTAAGATCCTGTATTAATCTCACAAAGGACCAGAATTCAGTTCGCAGAATCCTTGTCAGCTGATTTGCAACTGCAGGTAACTCCAGATCCAGGGGGAATCAGATGCTTCTGGCCTGAGAGAACCTGTACCCTTGTACACATACCCAAACACAGACACACATAGACATACGTAATTCTTGAAAATGGAGGTGGGAACAAGGGGACAGAGAATGGAAGGAGCAGAGGGTGGAGGGAGAACAGCAGTCACTGTTTTTAGATTCTTGTGCAAAATAATAATTTTTAAAAATCTGACAATCCTCTCTGGCCCTCCCCAATCTCCGCTTCTCGGGTATATAGAGCCAATACTGGCCAAGAAAGATCAAAGTTTGGGACCAAATGAAATATGAAAAAATAAAAAAGTTAGTGTAGACTTTTAAATATAGTCCCCGGTGATGCTACCTGACAATAATCGGATTAGTCCAATTTTTCCTAATATATAACAACAGAATAGCGGCTTCACTAGAACGATACTGTTTTAGGACGATGACTTTGAATGAGCCTGACTTCAAAACCTGAGTGTCAACCAGGTGGGACAGAAGGACCCTACCAGGGCACAGAGAACTTTCAGCTTCAATGGGATCACACGCCGGGGCTCCCGTCCCCCGAGCAACCCTCCCCACACACCCGAGACATTTTTACTCTTTGACAAACAGCTGCCGGAGGCGGTCCCATCCCGATTCCGGGGAACCGGGTTCTGAGACGTTTGAACGCAGATCTCGATCTTCCACAAAGCCTTGGGAGTCCGCAGCCACGGCACCGGCGGCAAAGACCCGGGGGAAAGGAGCCCAGGCCCTGCAAAGCAGGCTGCGGGGCGCGGGCGGCGGCGCCTCCATAGCACCCTCCCACCCGGGGAGAAACACCCGAGGCCGGCGGGCACCGTGGGACACTGTGACCCGCACAGCAGACCAGAGGTTAATAGACCTCGGAACCTCACATCCGGTCCCCAGCCGGCTCACTTCAGGAGGCGTCCAGAAACAAGAGACCGGAAGTCCCGCCCCTAACCCCGCAAAGACCCCCGCAGCGAGACGAAAGCGGAACCGGGCTGGAAGCTCTTCCGGTTAGGGCAGGATGAGCGGAAGTCGTGCCCCGGAAGTGAGTTGGCGGCGGTTTCTTAGTAAAGTCTTAAGGTGTTTGCACTGAGTAGGTCGGGTCTTGTGGGCCGGTTTATTGCCTCTTGGACGAGCTCTGTACAGCTCCTGGTGCTCACGTAGAAGGCGGCTGTACTTGATTCAGTGCAAGTGGAGTTACGGAAAGAAACGGGATGGATGTGCTTAAATGTGGGCTGGAGAAGCTTCCCGGGCCGAGCAGAGCCCACACTTTGCGTGAACATTAGGATGCCCCGAATAAGACTAAGATTTAAGAACGCTTTTTAAAGCATCAGCTATGGGCATTTTTCCCCCCCGGAACGTGGGTTCCACTACAAGTATTTATATGCTCACCGCTCTGAGAAATCAAAGATCTAGAGTTTTATCATTTAATAAAAGATTTTTACTTCCCGTTACCTTCATATGCTTCTAAGTGTAGTGTTCATTAGAATGCCCTCTCACTGAAGTGCGTGTCTGTAATTTCAGCATTTATGAAGTGGTGCAGAAGGATTTTTAGTTCAAGACATGATTTAGCCATAAAGAGGCCGCCAGGGCTTCACGAGACCACAGCATGCTTCCCACACCTATTTGAGGCATCTCACACCCACCTGTACTCTAGCTCCAGAGTATCATAACACCCAATTCTGAACTACCACTTTTTTTTTTTTTTTTTTTTTTTTTTTTTTATCACCAAGACAAAACTTTTAAGCTCAGCAAGGTAAAATACTCCCAATCGGTTTGTGTGATGATTTAATGCTTGGCCATTACCATATATCTCATAGTCTCTTTGCAAACCCCTTCACCTACTTTTTTCTAGTTAAAAGTACCACACTGGATATACAGCTCAGTGGTGCTCTACAGTTACTTCCATTGTTTACCTAAATAATTACAAACTTTAATAAAAATATAGTAAGGATTTTGGGAGTTGACTGTGGTATATCTCCACACCTAAGTATCAGAAAAGTCTCAAACACCCATCAGCATTTACTGCACTGTTGTAATTTCTTATTTGCGGATCTGAAGTTGCATAGTCACCTCTACTTATGAATCATCAAATGAAGTGCAATACGGAGTAGGTGTTAAGTAATTATCTTTGCTGTGGGGTGGGGCCCAAGATATGGTTTCTCTGTGTAGACCAGGCTGTCCTCAGAGATCCACCAGCCTCAAGTAATTGTCTGTTGAATGAAGAATTCAGACCCCCAATTCCTGGCTCTAGCTTCCCGCCTGCTTGGTCTGAAGGCACTGGAATTAGGTCCCAAGGCCTGAAAGCCCAACAAAACCGATGTGTTGCCTGTCCAGCTGAACCGTAGGAAAAGTTGAGTGCTTGCATTCACCTGATATTCTTGAGGTCTTGGAAGAAATCCTCCACACTTGAGCTAGAATAATTGTAGAATCAGGGTATACTTGAATGGGGACAGGGCAAAGGTTGGGCAAACACTGACAAAATCATTGACATATGGGGGTTAGAGGGATGGCTCAATGATTAAGAGCACTGGCTGTTCTGCCAGATATCGAGTTCAATTCCCAGCAACAACATGATGGCTCACAACAAATCCTGTAATGGGATTTGATTGCCCTTTCTGATGAGCATGGAGACAGATCATTCATATACATAAAATACATGAAGAAAATTTTACAAATTATTTACATATAATTCATGTCCACAGAATCCTGTACCCTGTAGACACAGATGACATCCTAGTAGCAGATTTTTCACTAACTCTTTAGCTCTTTTTTCCTTTGGGCAACTAATGACTGATTTTGATGATTTTTTGTTTTACTGGAAATTGAAACTATGCTAGGCAAGTGTTCTACCACTCAGCTACATTCCAGCCCCAAAGAGTCATTTGTAAAGTTGCCTTTGCTACCACCTACTTCAAGAAATTCCCCAGGTCGTTTGCTACTACTCGCCTTCTCTACCTCACCTCTCTCCAGTCGGCCTCCCATATTTCCCAAGCTACCAGAGCCTACCTTCTCTTGCCAGTAGGAAGACAATCTGCTTCTTCTGCACTCTCATCTTTTTGAAGGGTCTCAGAGCAATACTGTCAAAGTCAGAAGGTTGTTGTGGGGAGTAGTCAAAATGTACTTTAACATCGTACGCAGCTCTCATCCTCAGGACATGGACTTGCTGCTAGAGGAACTATCAGTGAAGGATTTCAGTCATCACTGCCTAAAACCACCGCTTGCCCCTCAGCCCACGTGGCTCATCAAACTCAACAGCTTTTTTAGTTGTCAGTTTTCTCTTGGGTCAGCAGGTTTTCTTTGTCAGGTTCACCAAGTACAACTCTTACAAAACATACTGTATTTGGTCATATTGAAAACAATTATAACCTTTTCTACAGTAGAGAAAATGAAAATTTGAGAAGAAAATGGTTAAGTCTGGGACCGTGATAGTATTACAACAAAATCTTCAAAAGTGTGAGCATACAAACTATTTTCAAAAGCACACACTCTACATACTGCTACACATCATTCTCATACCATCTACATGAGGTACAAATAAGATCAGAGTAACTTGTTTATATAAACAAAGATACCCCTTACTCCTTAAGAGGGCAAGTAAGGATCTATACTGACCCATTTCTTACACTGTACCTCATCCCCTTTAGAGCCAGTAACTGAGCAATTTAAAAACAATTTAGTTAAGTCAAGCGAGTGTATCCATCCATTCCCCACTCATTCATCCCCCCAATAGTTCTTCCGTAATGATTCTGCATGAGGCACTGTGCTGGGTGATGGAGACATCAAGAGCAGTGAAACATTCTCATCCATCAATAAGCTTACAAAACAGTGGAAGAAACAGTCAAGTAACTACAGTGCAGCATGGTGGCACAGCAGACTGTTATACTAGCCACTAACTGCCAAGAACAACGTTCAAAGAAGTGACACTGGAGCTTTAACTTGACACAAGCTGTCCTTCTATCTTTTCCAGGAGGGTAATGAGGAAGTTCTTCAATAATTATCTGCACTAAATTTCCTCATATAGGAGTAAAAAATGAAAGCTCTATCAAGTGCCACTTCATGATGTAATCTTCACATATGAAGATTGTGGTGTCTGCAAATTGAGACAGTCCTGCAGTCACTAACTTAAGAAGGCAAAATAAAAGGTGTGCAAAACGTGAGTTAGATTTATGAGACAGGACCAGGCGTAGCCACGCTGCCCTTAAGCTCTTGTGTTAGCTGAAGGTGGCCATGAACGTATCTTCCTGTTTCTACTTCAGCAGTGCTAGAATTGCAGGGGCACAATGAGACTGCTTCCTGAACATATTAGAAAATAAATTTCTCTTTCTCTCTCTTTTTTAGAGAGACAAAGGGTATAAAGGCACAAAATGGGAACTCGAAATCTAACTGCAAAAGTTACTCATGCAACTGAGGCATTATAGAAACTTCCTGAGTGCCAAAGAACTCCAACAGCACTGCATGGCAGAGCTCCTCTTTCTTTAGACTCTTGAAAGAATGATCACTGTGGTATTTCTCACAAACACCATAGGATTTTTCACAAACTCCATAGTAAAATAAAAGAACAGAGATTGGGCCTAGAATAACTTCAGAGTTGCTAGTGTATTGTACTCATTCCCAATGATCAATGGTTGGCTCCAAATAACAGGACAAGAGGGCATCTTCACGTGGACCCAGTCAGTTTCACAGTGATGAAGCGTGTAGATGACCTGAGGCACAAGCTCTGATTGATCATAAAAAAATGAGGGTTAGAATGCAGTTCCAAATCCTTATTTCATGATTTCAAAGGGCCGAGCTGCTTCGTTTCTGTTCATTACACACATTTTAGATCTTTCTCAAGAGTCCCTCTGGATTAGACATGATAAGGAAAACTGGGTGTTTGGCTTGGCCAAAGGTATTCAGGGTATAGGTTCATGCTCATGGTATTTTACCACAGAACATCTCAGATTCACTGTCAGGACTCTTGTTCTCTGACAGATACTATAGTTCAGTTTTCAAAAGTCTGGGAATGATCTGATTATAATCTTTCCTTCTTGTTACATTGTAGGACAGGAATTTGGAGTATTCAGTCAAGAGGTTCTCCCAGTAACAGGTGATGTCATCCATCTGCAAATGGTTTATGATGAACTGGCTTCCCCTAGAAATAAGATTAGCAAGAATATTTTATATCACAGGCTTTAATAATAAACCTATATATGGTTGGCTACTTTATCATGAGCCTCATTCCAAGTATTTTATTTGAATTAACTCACGTGCATTTCACAACCAAAACCCTATAACTATCATATCCATAGGCATATATTTATCAACAGAACTTAGTATTTGTTTCTTAAAAACAAGCATTGTTTACCAGCTAATATTCATTTTTAAATATTTGAGTTTACTGTTGTTGTTTTGTGTGGTTTGGAGTTTTGAAACTTTTCACTCTTTATTTCAGGTTGGCCTAGAATTCACTTCATGGCCCATGCTGTCCTGGAACTCAGGGTAATTTTCTTGACTCAGTGTCTCCATTGCTAGGATTACAGGTGTGAGGCATGAGCTAAAAACAGTTGTCTTAGTGCCTCGAAGACTGAAGTCTAGGCCCTGGAGAGGGAGTTCACTGGTTAAGAGTTACTGCTCTTGCAAAGGAGCAACTCATGACTGCCTGTAATTCTAACTCCAGGGATTCTATGCCTCTGACTTCTTGGGCACCAGCACTGACATGCATATACCCACACAGAGACACACAAATACACAATTTACAAATAAAAGACTGAAATTTGAAACATGGAGCATTTTGTCAATGTGTGTATTATTTGTCTCCAGGACAGCTTTGACTCTGGATTATCTTTGTAATGAGAAGCTGAGGTATGGACATTGTCAATGTAGCTATATTTAGAAAACTTTAAGACAGATGTGAAGGACAAGAAAGCACAAATGAATAGAGCTTACCTTTCAGCAATTTCCTGAGCAATATCATCATTTGCTTTTACAAATTGCAACAGCTCCCTAAAATGACAAGAACCATGACACTGTAGAGGTTGAGGAGATGGCTCAGCAGCTCATGCATTTGCCACGCCAAGCACAGGGACCTGTGTTTGGCCCCAATACCCACATAAAAAGCCAGGCATGGTGACTTGTGTTTTTAATTCCTGTGCTAGTAAGTTGGAGACTGATGGATCCCTGGAGCTTGCTGGCTAGCCAGCCAATTCTAATCGACAAGCCCAAGGCCCCAGTGAAAGATTCTGTCTCAAAAAGAACAAAATATATGGCCCCTGAAAAATAACACCTAAGGTTGACCCCTAGCCCTCATAAACACATGAACGAGTACATACACATCATACACAGAGAAATATACACACAAACCATGGGCTTTTAAAATAGAGATCACTGTCATTAATACGAAGTCAAACAACAGGTAAATCTGTAGATATGTTGGTGGTAGATAGTTTCTTTAAAGCGAAGAGATTAGGGTGCCTAAGGAAATAAAATAACAGCAAAGAAAAATATATCTACATACAAAACCAGGAATGGTGTGAGCATGGTGTACACAGACATTCCCTGCACATGGGAGGTAGAAGCAGGAGAATCAGAAATTCAACACTACCTCAGCTACATGGCAAGTTTGAAGACGGCCTGAGTTACATACCATGTCTCAAAAGAGACAAAAGACAAAAAAAAACCAAAAAAACAAAAAAAACAAAAAAAAAAAAAAAACAAAAAAAACTGAAGTCAGACTGTTACCTGTCACTATTATCTATTATGCTATGTTCTATTATATAAGGTTGGGAAATATTCTGGAAAAAATAAAAATGTACAATAATCATAAAAAAATCAAGTGTGAAGAAGAATTTCTGGGGCCAGAAAAATGGCTCAGCAGGTGGCAGCAAAAGCCTGACAAGCCAAGTCTACCCTTGAAACCCATGTGAAAAGCTGGACATGGTGGCATACATCTGCAATCTCAGCAAGAGGCAGGGGTGCACAGTAGTAGGAATCAAACCCTGCCGCAGCAAGGTGGAGGGCAAGAAGGGATTCCTGGAAGTTGTTCTCTGACGTCTGACGACCACACAGATGTGTGTATGGTTTTTCACTGTTCATTCACTCTGGCCCCCAACACAAATACATAAAGAAAAGATTTACATTTTCAACTTGTCTCCGAATTCTTGTTCTAGCCAGAGGAGGAAACTGGGCTCACATTTCTGCCCCTTCTCCATACCTCTTTCTGTCTCCTCTCATCATGAAAGACTGTCTGCCAGGGTTTCACTTGGGCCAACTCTTATGCTGTATCAGAAATCCTAATGACAACATAAACAAGAGCCAATCTATCTTCAACTGTTGAAGATCAAAGACTTTTCATCTGCATGTTATGTTAGAAACAACACTTTAAATTAAAGCACTTCAACTTAAATCCCATTTATAACGTACCTAGATAACGTACAACACTATACTATACTATACTACCTAGATAACACTACTACCCAGCTAATGTACTATGTACTACCAATCTTTCAAGGAGGAAAAAACTTTCCCTTACAAATGAAATCATCTGAGAAAACTTAAGTGGCTGTACTTAAGAGAAAAAGGTCACAGGAAAGGTAAGTGCTTACTGGACATTGGAGAGGTCTGTTTTAACTGGGATGTAGTGAACCCATGGCTTTAGCTGTGGGTAAAAGAATTCTACCCACTCATCACCAACATGGAAGACCAGCGAACCACACAAGAAGAGGTGTTTGAACCGGAAACTTGCAGCCACACCTCGAAAATTAAACAGATACCTGAGAAAGGAAAGAAAGCATATTTCATTTTCTACAGCTGCTGCCACAAACTGGATCTTTACCCCATCTCCCCATCCTCCTGTGCCCCCATTTCCATCTCGGCTTCTATGATTACCCTCCTTTCCTTTGTAATTTTACCTTTTCTATGTTAGTCTTTGAGACAAAATAGGCTGGTTAGTTGCCAACTTGACAGCAGCTAGAGTCATCTGGGAAGGACTCTCAATTGAGAAAATTCCTCTATCAGTTTGCCAATGGCGAGTCTGTAGGGCATTTCCTTGATTAATGATTGACATGAGAGAGCCCAGCTCATTGGGGGTGGTGCCACCCCTGGGCAGGTGGTCCTGGGTTATATAAGGAAGGGTACTGAGCAGGCCATGGAAAGCAAACCAGTAAGCAGCACTCCTCCATGGCCTCTGCTTCGGTACCTGTCTCCAGGTTCCTGCCTTGAGTTCCTGCCTGATTTCCCTGGATAAGAAACTATAGGCTATAAACTGAAACAAATCCTTTCTCCCCAAGTGGATTTTGGTCAAGGTGTTTCATTACAGCAATAGAAACCCTATCACATGGTCTCACATTTTACCTTGGGCTGGCCTTGGACTCAAAGAAATCCTCCTGCCTCATCCTCCCAAGTGATGAAACTGTAGGCATTGAGCCACCATGCCCTATTCTCAGGCTTCAGGAACACATCTGTATGTGTCTGTGGAGTTTCCATAAATTCCTTGCTTTTCCTGGGTTGGAGCTGCAGGTTCTTCCAGGAATGCCAGGTAAACAAAAGAGGAAATGATTTCTCCAGAAAGAGCTATATGAGGCCAGCAGCTGTGTGCTGGGTGGAAAACAGATAGGATCAGAAAGAAATAACTAGTTTTGATTTTTTTTGTAGATTTCAGACATATATGAAAAAGTATGTTTAATGATGTAGATTTAAAAAGTAAATCAAGCAAACAAACAAAAAACATAACTAGGCTGTCAAGATGGCTCAGCGGGCGCCTGCCACCAAGCCTGAGGGCCTGCACTAAATTTCCAGAGCCCAGAGGGTAGGAGGAGAGGATCAGCCTCCGTGAGTTGTATGACCTCCCCATGTATGCAACGGCACACAGGTACCCACATGAAATAAACAAATGTTAAAAATATTTTTTGAGACCAGGCGGTGGTGGCACATGCCTTTAATCTCAGCTCTTGGGAGGAAGAGGCAGGAGGATCTCTGTGAGTTCCAGGCCAACCTGGTCTATAAAGCAAGTCCAGGACAGCCAGAGCAACACAGAGAAACACTGTCTCAAAAACCAAAGGGGGAGATAAATAAATAAATATATATACATACATATGTATATATATATTATATTGAAGAGTAAAAAAATCTCCATACTGGGCAGAGAGGAACATTTGGGAGGTGGATATAGGAGGATCAGGAGTTCAAATTCATCCTCAGCTAGTACTGAGTTATATAGTAAGTCAGGCTCCCAGATCTTTTTGTTTCCCCTCATGTAGTTCACCAAGTAAAAGACGAGCTCTCTTCCTGGACATCACCCTCTTCTTCCACAGCACAGGGAAAACAAGTCTAAGCTAATCAGTCCTCAAAAAGAAGCTCTCGAAGAAAAGACTGTTTTCCTCTCAGCACTTCTCATATTTGTGCCTGTCTCTAACACAGGCACACCTAACCCACCACTCCCCCTGGGAATAACCATTGTCTTTCCATCCGAGTCCCATCCCAAACCTCAGCTGACCTGTTTAGCTAATTCTTAGTCCCAGAATTTCATTATGGAGCCTGTCTGTCTGTTACAATGATGGGGATGAACCTAGGGCCTCTTGTCTGCGGAGCAAGCACACGCTTCCCTACCACGTTATTTCTGTAGCCCCTCATTATAACATTTACTACTGTGGGAAATGCAATCTAACTCTTGGGAGGAGTGCTGTGGGGAGAGGGGATCCTGCCACTTTAATGAATGGTAATTAGCTGAGGAACCATGCTTCATTCTTCTCTGTAATGCCCACAGGGCTCAGGTCAGTACCCTGCAGGCCCCAGGAAAAGCCAACCAAATTAATTAACATGATACTTTGGGTGAAAGTCTCCAAAGTCAAGTATTTCAAAGGCAATACAGAAATAAGTAACGAGGTTGGGTAGTGGTGGCAGAGGCAGGTGGATCTCTGAGTTCGAGGCCAGCCCGGTCTACAGAGCGAGTTCTAGGACACCCAAGGCTACAAAGAGAAACCGGTCTCAAATAGAAAGAAAGAAGGAAGTGGAAATCTTACTTGTATTTGCAGTGGTCTATAAGGTGCACATCCTTAGCAGCTGGCTTTCCCAAGGTATCCTGTAGGTAAAAAGGAAGTTCTCACCACCAGCAATAGCATTGATGGGCAGGCACATTGGTAAAACATTTCACCAGCACACCCTCATTTAAGCATCATAATGAACCTAATGTGTCTAGGAGGCATTATCTTCACTAGGCCACTGAGGAAGCAAGGTTTCAAAGTTGGGACTTGCTCAGTTGTCACATGACCTTAAAAATAGCAGCTACAGTGTTTTTGACTCAGGTCTCTTTTGGTTTTAGGGTCTGAACTCACCTGACACCTTGGCTGCCTTCCTTTGAACTAAGAGGTTATTGTATATAGCCCATCTCACTCTGTGTGAACCACACACACACACACATACATACACAAACACACACAACATCATAAGAGCTGGCTTATGGAGCTACTGGCTGTAACTCACAAAGACATTTGTTGGGCCTGGAAAGTAGTTAAAAACAAATATTCAAGCCACTGCTAACAATTCACAGGTGACATAGCACTTCTCACAAAAGCCCAGCTCTCTGGCCTGGTATGGCAGCCCATACCATGCCTGTGATCCCAGTGGTGAAAGTAGAGGCAGGATTATTTGGAGTTCAAGGTCACCCTCAGCTACCTCAAAAACTTAAGGCCAGATTAGGCTACAGAAGACCCTATCTCAAAATCAATCAATAATAAATACCCAGGTTTTTAAACTTTCTTGGAGGAAAATAATAAAAAACAACAACACAGATCTAACAAACCAAGTCCTGCTCCCATTAGCAGTAGGCATCTGAGAGCTGTCGGTGCTCCTCTGGCTTGCTCCTTCCTGTTTGCTTCCCTGCCTCCCTCCACAGGAGACACCAACCTGTGTGCTCAATGAACACATTCTCTCATTTCTTTGTTTTTGCTGTACTTTCCCTGATTTGTCTTCCAAATAGGGTTTCATAGCCCAGGTTGGTCTCAAAGTCACTAACTGAGGATGCCCTTGAATTCCTGTGCATATTTCCCCCCCAAAGGTTTCTTAAACTCATTTGCTCCTGTTAGATCAAAACTGTATAAAATAGGCCAAGAATGGGGCTGGAGAGATGGTACAGCAGTCATAAAAGAGTACCTGTGGCTCTTGCAGAGAATCTGGGCTCAATTCCAAGCATCCTCATGGCAACTTCCAACTGTTCATAATAACTCCAGCACCCTCTTCTGGCCTCTGCAGGCATACAAGCACACGCGCGCGCACGCACACGCGCACACACACACACACACACACACACACACACACACACACACACATATACTTCCAGTGAAAACACTCATACATGTAGCTTTTATTAAATGTAGCTTTTTAGTCTTTATTATTATTCTTTGGCTACTTTGTTTGTGGGTTCTTCTCCTAACTCTCTCCTAACAATATCTTCCTTGGCTCAGCTCCGCTCCTTCTGGCTCAACTGTCACCATCGTCTTAACTCTGCTAGTTCAATTCACTTCAACTGTCTTTTAATATCATTTTGTTCAATATCTTTTCCTCTTCTCTCTAGCCCTACTCAAACTTCTTTCTTCTTGCATCAACTTCTTCTCTGATCTTACTCTTCTGTCTCCTGGATTCTACTCCTGCCTACTCTCTCTCCCAGCTCTCAGCCTCTTCTGGCTTTTTATACCCTCTCCTATTCCCGGAAATCCAAGAACCAACCGACACTGAAGGGAATAGGGTCATTTAAAGAAACAGGCACATAAAATAGTTCATACACATATACATAAAATAAAAATTTTAAATTAAAAAAAAATAATAGGCTAATGGTATAGCTCAAGGATAGAGTTTTTCTAGCATTCTGAGGCAAGGGTTAAAACCCTACTACAGCAACACAAAAATCTACAAATGAAACCTATGCAAATAATGCATCCATTTCAGAGATACACCGAGTTTTTCTCCATGAAGCTTATATGCTGTGCTGAAACTGCAAATGAGGAAATCAGAATTTTACCTGTGTGTGTATGTGTGTGTGTGTGTTTTGTTTTTTGAAGCAGGAATTCTCTGTGTAGACTTGGCTGTTCTAGACTCACTTTATAGACCAGGCTGGCCTCAAACTCACAGCGATCCACCTGTCTGGATTTAAATTCTTAAGGTGAGAAGGAACAGTCAGAACAGATGGACCTCAAAGCTAAAGGTCGGATTTTTCTGATTTTAAAGAAATAAAGAATCCTGGGGCCGGATCCCCGGACTTGGTCATTTAGCTCACTGTTTAAGCACTCAGGTTGTAGCCTACAGCCATTGAGAACCATCTATTTAAACCAGAAATTGGTAAACTATAGCCCACAGGCCAACCCACCATGTGGTGGTATAGAACCCATGGACTAGATATTTTTACATTTTCGAGTGACTGGGAAAACATTTTCTGATATGTAAAAATTACACGAGATGCAGGTGTGGTGGCACACACCTTTAATCCTGGCATTCAGGAGAGGCGGGCGGATCTCTGGGAGTTCAAGGCCAGCCTGGTCTACACAGTGACACTGTCTCAAAAACAAAAACAAAGGAAGAGAGAAATAAAAAAAGGAAGGAAGGAAGGAAGGAAGGAAGGAAGGAAGGAAGGAAGGAAGGAAGAAAGGAAGGAAGGAAAATTACATAAAATTCAAATATCACAGGAAATTCAAATTTCACGTGAAATTTAAATTTTGGGGCCCATAAATAATAATCAGAAAATAGCTGTGTTGTGAAAGTTGCCTAAGCTACTCTCACCCTGCTATAGCAGGCCACGCAGTAACGACCTCGGTAGCCCCATGTTTACTATTTGGCCTCTCACAGGGAAAGCTTATAAACTCTCAACTCTTCAGCGTTTCTGACACACTTAGCATAACAGGGCGTAAGAAGTCTGGAAAACAGCAATTTACATATATGCTAATACTAGTTCACCGAACTTGCTCTACATTCATCTCACCACTGAGAGGAAACCTAATCTCAAATTCTACCCAGCTGGCCATGTTCTCAGAGTCATCACTGCTGGGGTTCAATTCAGATGGTTGCTGATTACTTTCATAGATTTCCAGGCCTGGTTTTTGGTGTATTCTGCATCAACGAGTTTCGGATTTTTCCGAGATAGGAGAATGAGAGGATCTCTTTCTGGGCTTGTCCTACAGAGAAAACACAGAACATAAATCTAAGCGGCCTACACCATCGTGTTCCCACAATCCCTAGGAGGTGAGCGGTACTTGGCCAGTACAGTGACTGTTGCCATAAATGGGATGGCTCCCTCAGTCTGGGGCAGTAAAGGAAGGGAATCCTGGGTACTGTGGCATCTTGGTCCTTCAGGCTATCCCCACTTTCCCCACCAAAGACAGGGACTATTGAGTCCTTCTTTGCTTACATCCTGTTTTATTGTTTGTTGGAAACAGGATCTCATGTAGCCCAGGCTACCCTCAAACTCACTATATAGACAAATGTGGCCTTGAATTCCTGATTCAGATTGGTGATCCGAATCACTGGTATTGTAAGAATGTGCCACCACATCTGGTCTGAGTACGATTGTACTGGCTAGTTGTATGTCAGCTTGCCAAAAGCTAAGAACGCCCCCATGAGATCAGGCTGTAAGCCATTTTCTGAATTAGAGATCAATGGGGGAAGAGCCTAGCCCACTACGTGTATCTCTGGCTAGTGTGGCAATTCTGGGTTCTATAAGAAAGCAGGCTGAGCAAGCCAGGAGGAGAAAGCCAGTAGGCAGCACCCTTCCCTGTGCTCTGCATCAGCTCCTGCCTCCAGGTTCCTATCTTGTGTCAGTTCTTACCCTCATGGCTTTTGATGTGAATGAAATAAACTTTTCTCTCAAGTTGTTTTTGATTATGGTTTTTCCATCACAACAAAAGTAACCCCAACTAAGACAATGATGTTCTGGTCACTACAGCTATATTCCAGGGAATGGTTTTTCTTCCAGGCCTAGCATCACTGCTATTCACAGCTGTGATGGCAGCTGTTCACAAGGTGTGATAATCACCACTCACCAAAACAGCTACATGGCCTTTGCTGTGTATGCATTGTAAAGCCCAAGCTGGGCATAGCGGCACATGCCTTTAATCTCACTATTCAGGAGGCAAAGGAGGCTCTCTGTGAGCTCCAGGCCAGCCAGGACTACAAACTGAGACCCTATCTCAAAATATGCAAACAATAACAACAACAAAAGGCAAGAGCTAGGCATAGTGATTACATGCTTATAATCCTAGCTACTTGGAAAGCAAGCAGGTCTCAAGTTTAAGGCTAGCCTCAGCTTTACAGCAAGACCCTGTCTCAAAAAAAAAAAAAGTGAGAATCATGGGTATTAAGCCCACCTGTATTCTGAAGTCCACTGGCCAAGCCAGGTGAGAAGATGCATGTATGACCTCTGATAGATAGCCCACCACCACAAAACCCACAGACTCTTCTCCCTTCCTATCCACCCATTCCACAGATACTGCCTGTGTGGTTGCTGGCCCGGTGCAACCTGGCACTCATCAGAGACTGAGGTGCAAAGCCTTGCTACTTCTAGGAAACACTAAACAAGAAGAGCATCACCCACTTGGCTCGACAGATGGCACTCTATAAATACCAACTGAGTAACTGTTTGGGGAACTCCTCTGAATTTCAGTTGAACCGTGAGTGGTTTGGCAAGTAACCCATGTAGTAGTTTGTTTTCTATTTCCATGGTAACACCATGACCAAAAGCAATACGGGGAGGAAAGGGTCGGATGGGCTTACATGTCCCGATCACAGCTGATATTTGAGGGAATTGGGGGAGTAAAAGCAGGAACCTCGGAGAAAAGCTACTTACTGGCTTGTTTACAGGGTCAAGTTCAGCTCCTTTTCTTATACTTCCTAGGACTAGTTCTCCAGGGGAGGCACTGCCCACCATGGGCTAGGCTTCACACCAATCACCCATCAAGAAAATGCCCCCACAGACATGCCTATACACCAACTGGACTGAGGTAGTCAACTGAAGTTACCTCCTCCCAGATGACTATTGTTTGGGTCGAATTGACAAACCCTAACCATAACTGAATTCTTCTCTAGTCTAAGATCCAGTCCACGTTTTTGTTGGTGGTGATGATGGTGGTGGCTTTTGAGACAGGGCTTCACTGTGCGACCCTGGCTGGCCTGGAAACTACTACTCGGATCAGGACAGCCTGGAACCCTGTATTGAAGATGAGGCTGGCCTAGAGCTTGTAGCAGTCCTGCCTCTGTCTTTTGAGTGCAAGATTAGAGATGTGTACCACTATGCCTGGCCATTATTCCACATTAATTTTTCAGTTATCTTAGCTTTTCCACTGAGCAACACGAGACAATATACCCTCAAGACAGCGTAATTTTACCCACGGCTCAGAAGAATATGGTTATCATAGGTGAGAAAATGTAGTCACCTTGATCCTCTGAAATACGCTGTAGAATTTTTCTTTTCCCATGGCCACTGTGCTGCTGACCTGAAAATATAAAATTTTTATTAATTTTTGGGGCTTTTCCCTAGACTATATGTTTTAACCATTTCTGAAGACTAGTTCAGAAGTGTGCACCTTTAAATGAACCTGTTCAAGGCTACTAAACCAAGCCCTTTTGTTAGCGTTGCGATGTTCTGAAGGGGCTTTGTTGCAGGACACTTCCATCTCCTAAGTGTCAGGATTATGGGCTTTGTTAATCCCACTGCAAACCCTGAGACTGTGAACTGTGAAAACCTGTTGATAGTTGTAGAGTGGCTCAGCTCTAGTACAAACCTTTAATCCAAAGCTTTCTGGAAATAGGAGTAAAAAACGTCAAGCCTAGGTCAAGAGGTGGAGCAAAGCTGGGCGTGGTAGCGCACACCTATACTCCCAGCAATCAAGGAGGCAGAGGCAGATGGATCTCTGAGGTCAAGGCCAGCTTAGTCTACAAAGCAAGTTCAGGATAGTCAAGTTCAGGATAGCTACACAGAGAAACCCTGTCTCAAAAAATCAAAAACAAATAAAAAGACGCAGAGCAAGTAACCAGCTGACAGGGATTAAGCTGAATGTGGGGAGAGGGCAGGACTTTGAGTTGAAGGCTATTTAAAACAATGTGGAGAAGAAGAAAAAGCCTTTGGCTTTTGGCTTTTCCCTCCAGGGCTGTCAGCAGAGCTTCTCAAATGTGAGCAAAGCAGGAAGGGCTTTTTCCTTCTGGGACATCAGCTGAAGTGCTTTTTCCTTCTGGGCGCTTTCTCTGCCCCTCTGAGCTCATAGGCTTTCACTCCTGCAGCTGGCTCCTGAGCCTTCTTTGGCAAAATCAAGTGCTGAGATTTCTTTTCTTATAACAGGCCTTGCCAGGAATTACAACAAATGCACCAATCCAATAACATTAACTCACTGAAACAAAGTACACAGAGTGCAAATGGCATGCACAGGATTGTTTAGTTGGCACAGTAAGGGTTTCCTCCCTGAGTAGAAGGCTGGTAACACGACTAGCATGTGGCAACAAATTCACAGGAACGGAGCACCTCAAACTCAGTACACAGTTGAGGTTGACCTTGAACTTTTGATCCTCCTACTTCCATCTCCCCTGTGTCAGGATTATGGGTATCAGCCACCATAACCAGTTTATACAATGCTGGGAGTCAAACCCTGGGCTCCATGTATGCTAGCCAAGTGTCCTACCAACTGAGCTCTATCCTTAGGCCCAACATGAATGTTTATATAGATGCCAAACTGCTTATGCTATTAATGGTCTGTGACGTTTATGCTTTGTGTGTGTGGGAGGGCGCACACTTGTGTGTACCCATTTGTACACGTTTGTGTGCACTTGACTTCAAGAGCATCCTGGCTGAAAAGAAGATATCAGATGTCAGTCTTTATTCCCCTGTGACATGGTTTTTCACTGAACCTGATGCTCACCTGGGGGAGGCCAGTGAGCTCCCCAGATCCACCTGTCTCTGACCCGCCAGAACACTGCCTGGATTTTACATGGATGCTACAGATCCATGCTCAGATCCTCATGTTGTATAGCAAGTGCTCTTACCCGCTGAGCTATCTCCCCAGCCCAGGTAGTAATCTTAAATTAACGACTGTATTCTACTGCTTATTGCAAGAAAACTCACAAGGCGGGAAAAACAAAACCCGCCTAAAGGACCTACCTCATCATATCTTCTCTGAAGAGGTCCCACCGTCCGAGACCTGTAGGATACAGTGGCCACACAGCAGGGCCCCCTTCCCAAAATGTCCATGCAGGATACATGATATCATGGTACTCCGATGTCTTGGACAGAAACAGGAAAGAATTTTAAGGAAGTTTTGGAAGAGAATGAGAAGCAGCTGACTGCTATATATGAGTTGGGACAAACAATTTCACTGTGCCCACCTGACAGAGAAACATTTTATTGGTCTGCAGGCCTAGATTCTAGACATTAGATCTGGGAATACAGCTCAGTTTTCAGAGCACTTACCTAGCATAAACGAAGCTGTGAGTTTAATACCCAGCACCATAAAGCAAAGCAAAAACATCACCCTCTATGCCTAGACTACAGACATTAAAAAGCAAGAATTAAAAGTAACAGACCCAACAAGCGGATCTCTGAGTTCGAGGGAGCCCAGTCTACACAGTGAGTTCCAGGACAGCCAAGGCTACACAGAGAAACCCTGCCTCAGAAAAACAAAACAAGAAGTATACACTCCCTGAGTCCCAGACTTTTTAGTCATATTAATCATAAAGGTCAAGTTTTTCAGTTCCTCAAAATTCTGGAGGGTTTTTCTGAGGGAGGGAGGGAGGAATGATATTCCCAATTATGAATAATCAGTTCTGTCAAAATGTAACTGCTGTTACATCCTGGTGTTTTCCCTGCTTTACCAGTTCCCAGTTATTTCCCAGGGGCTATTTTGAGAGTATGGGTCAGAAAATAGCACTGACCACAGTAGTCTGAATGCCAACTCCTCCTCTTCACCACTGAGTGAGTGCTCGAATGTATGTCTCCATCTCCTTGTAATAGGGGAAAGGATATCCCTATTTCTATCTATGGGATTATTTTCAACACAAAATGACGGAAAAGTATTCTATTTCTTACTGCTCTGAGACTGTGAAATGAACACAGACCACGTTGATTCCTGGATCCCCAGTCTCATCCTCACCAATGCCCATCAGACTGTCAGAGGAGAAGGCTCATACAGGGGGATCAGGATCACCTCCAGCCCCATGTGGCCTGGCCTGTGCTCACCTTACTGAAGGAGAAGACAGGAATGGTAGGCTCCATCCATCTAGGAACCTGAGGGTAATCTCGTACATTGATTACCATTTCCATGTCAGGGAGGCGACTAATAATTTCCAAAAGAAAGTGTTGGACACCACTACACCTGTCAATCAGACAAATACAGGCTCGTCAGAGCGGCGCCTCGGGCTGTAAGAATGATCCTAGTGTTAGAGTGAGACAAGCCATTGCCCAGACCTCCAGCCCACTGCAGTGCCCCGCAAGCAACCCTTCTCAAGGGACTATGCCACTTTTTACACAGCGCAGGTTACAGTTCTTAGCCAAGTTGCTCCAATAAGCCTAACTCTGAAGAGAATATCATTTGTACTCATGCCACCTCTCTGTGTGTTACCAGGTTTTTATTCCCATGACACAGAATAGTTTAATCAGTAGACAAGATGCAAATTTTCATAACGAAACTGGGAAGACCTTATTGTCTAATTGTGTTCCTTGGCCTTCCCTCTCACACAAAGATACTGTTATGGTTTGGAGCTGGAATGTCTGGTTCTCAGCTTTGCCTAACTGGGGGGTGATGGGGAACATTTAAGAAGCAGGTGGTTTTAGATCACAGAGTGCCTTCAAAGGAGATATTAAGCTGTTCTGTCTTTCTCTCTCCCCTCCTTCCCCTGTTTCCTCACGTTCCCAGGTGACAGGAGGTAAGAAGGTTTGCCTACCTTGTACTACCCTCCCTGCGGTGCTACATAACCACAGACCCAAAAGCAAAAGAGCCAGATGACCACGGACTGAAGACTCTCAAACCATGAGCCAAAATAAACCTTTCCTCCATCGTTACTTGTCTCAGATGATCTGTTACAGTATCAGAAAGCTAACTGGATAGGATGTTTCTTTCTACCATGATTACATCTCCAGGAAGGAAAACCTCTCATACCTTCAACCTAAACACAGATCATTATCAAAACTGGTTTTGCCAGACAGAAACGGCATTGACCCAATCAAGAAGACTACCATACCACTTTCTGACTAGAGTCCCTGAGAAGCTTCAGAGAATTTATTTATTTATTTTTCTGAAAGAAAGAGAAAATGCTTAGCTTGTTTTTTCCCCTATCCTTTGAGGTCCTAACCAGCAACATTTTGGGGCATCACCTGAATGATCAGAATTTTCTGGCAACACGATTACCCTGGAACTTTTCACACAGACCATCTGGCCTCATATGGCCTCCCAAGACCCAGGATTACAGTCATCATGGCAGGCTAAAACAGTTTTACATACAAGTTGATAACTAGCAAAATAAAATCAATGGCTCATATTCGTAGTAAGAAGTGTCAACAAAATCAGTCAATGTTTAATAATCTGATCAACAGAGATTTTAAAAGTCTAATACACAGCATTGCATTAGAGGGTATGAGGTCTACTTAAGAGCATGTCAGCCAAGCATAGTGGTATACATCTTTAATCCTAGCACTATGGAGGCAGAAACAGGTGGAACTCTGAGTTCAAGGCCAGACTGATCTACGTAGCAAGTTTCAGGTCAACAAGAGCTATATCATGAGACACTGTCTCAAAGAAATTAGTAAATTAATTAATTAAGATATGTTTTTAAAGCATGGGAAATAGACACAAAATTCATTCCTTAGCCTAGTTATTCTGGGAATTTAGCCTACATGTGTACATGCATGTACATGACCAGTGCGATCAAAGGTACATGCATGAGAATGCTCACTACAGCAATGCTGGTATTAGTCAAGTTTTGCAGGGATGTTGTAAGGAATAATTTAAATATTCCCTGATAGAAGACCAAATGAAGAAATCCATACAATGAGTTATTACTATGTAGCTACAAGAGTGTACCTGGCCCACAACAGACACTCCTAAATCCCCCTCCCTCACGTCCTCCTGTAGCTTACACTACCCTGCCAGGTTTCATTACCTTGTTCCTCATAGCTTGTGGAACCAGGCAAAAAAGAGATGGGACAGAGTCAAGGCCAAAGTTAGCGATGTGCACTAGGTTTACATAAAATAGCTGATAAAATAGCTGATAAAAAAAAAAAAATCCCAGGCAAAGTGAGTTTACCCATACTTGGTAGGCTCTCAACTGTAAGGAAAGATGCACTTGCTACTACTCCAGCTGATACCTGAGTCCCATCAAGCCAGCCTATATGTTCTAATACCATTAGAGGATTCCATGTTCATTTACCTGGAGGGAAACATGCAGTCATCTTCCCTGTATAACCTGTTCTTAATGATCTGGTAGTGGGTTCCTAGCTTCCGTCTGACCACTTCAGCCATCATCTTCCTGGAGATACCACCTCGAAAAGGAGTCAGATCCTCTTCTATGATGCTGCGGAAGAATGGAAATCATAGAGCAAAGCAGGCCAAGAGAAGGACGCCATTCCATCCATTCCCAAGTGCTTTCTGTTTAGAGAATATACTAAACAGGGGAAAGTAGTGCATAGGAACCCACAACTCCGCTGCAAAAGCACCAAACTCAGGAGCAGAGGCTGCAGTAACTAGGAAATAAGTTACTCTACACTGCTTTTCAAGTTCAGCACAAAGTAGGTTTCAGCAAGCATCATTAGCATCTGATGAATTTTTTTAAAGATTAATTCATTTGTTATTTATACAGTACAGTGTTCTGCCTGCACGCCAAAAAAGTGCACCAGATCTCATTATAGATGGTTGTGAGCCACCATGTGGTTGCTGGGAATTGAACTCAGAACCTTTGGAAGAACAGCCAGTGCTCTTAACTTCTGAGCCATCTCTCCGGCCATCTAGGTGAATTTTTGAGGAATCAGAATAAAAAGACTTGTATGAAAAAAATTTCAAGTCTCTGAAGAAAGAATTAGAGGAAGATATGAGAAGATGGAAAGATCTCCCATGCTCATGGCTTGGCAGGATTAACATAGTAAAAATGGCCATCTTACCAAAAGCAATCTACAGATTTAATGCAATTCCCATCAAATTGCCAACACAATTCTTTACAGACCTGGAAAGAAAAATTCTCAACTTCGTATGGAATAACAAGAAACCGAGAATTGCTAAAACAATCCTCTACAATAAAAGATCTTCTGGAGGTATCTCCATCCCTGATCTCAAGCTGTACTATAGAGCAACAGTTATAAAAACTGCATGGTACTGGCATAGAAACAGAATGGTGGATCAATGGAATCGAACAGAAGACCCAGAAATAAACCCACACACTTACAGACACCTGATTTTTGACAAAGATGCCAAAACCATACAATGGAAAAAAGATAGCATCTTTAACAAATGGTGCTGGTCCAACTGGATGTCTACATGTAGAAAAATGAAAATAGATCCATACTTATCACCCTGCACAAAACTGAAGTCCAAGTGGATCAAAGACCTCAACATAAAACCAGACACATTAAATCGGCTAGAAAAAAAAGTGGGGAATACCCTAGAACTCATTGGTACAGGAGAAAACTTCCTGAACAGAACACCAACAGCACAGGCTCTAAGAGCAACAATCAATAAATGGGACCTCATGAAATTGAAAAGCTTCTGTAAAGCAAAGGACACCGTCATCAAAACAAAGCAACTGCCTACAGATTGGGAAAGAATCATCACCAACCCTCTATCTGACAGAGGACTCATATCCAATATATATAAAGAACTAAACAAGCTGAAAAGCAACAAACCAAGTAATCCACTTAAAAAATGGGGAACAGAGCTAAAGAGAGAATTCTCTGCAGAGGAATATCGAATGGCAGAGAAGCACTTAAAGAAATGCTCAACCTCATTAGCCATTAGGGAAATGCAAATCAAAACAACCCTGAGATTTCACCTTACACCCATCAGAATGGCCAAGATGAAAATCTCAAGGGACAACACATGCTGGAGAGGTTGTGGAGAAAGGGGAACCCTTCTCCACTGCTGGTGGGAATGTAAACTGGTACAACCACTCTGGAAATCAATCTGGCACTTTCTCAGACAACTAGGAATAGCGCTTCCTCAAGATCCAGCCATACCACTCCTAGGCATATACCCAAAAGAGGCGCAAGTACACAACAAGGACATTTGTTCAACCATGTTTGTAGCAGCTTTATTTGTAATAGCCAGAAGCTGGAAACAACCCAGATGCCCCTCAACTGAAGAATGGATGCAGAAACTGTGGTACATCTATACAATGGAGTATTACTCAGCAATGAAAAATAAGGAAATCATGAAATTTGCAGGTAAATGGTGGGACCTGGAAAGGATCATCCTGAGTGAGTTGACCCAGAAGCAAAAAGACACTCACGGTATATACTCACTCATATAAACATACAATATAGAATAAACCCACTAAAAGCTGTACATCTAAACAAACTAAGCAAAAGAGAGGACCCTAACTAAAATGTTCAATCCCCATCCTGAAAGGCAAAGAGGATGGACATCAGAAGAAAACGAAAATAGGAAACAACCTCGGAACCCGCTACAGAGGGCCTCTGAAAGCCAGAAGAAAACAGGAAACAACCTTGAAACCTGCCACAGAGGGCCTCTGAAAGCTTCTGCAGTATAGACTGTCAAAGCAGATGCTGAGCCTGATGGCCAACTGATGGGCAGAGTGAATGGAATTTTATGTAAGAAGTGGGAAATAGTAAGAGCTGGAGGGAATGGGAACTCCACAAGCAGAGCAACAGAACAAGATAATTTGAACACAGGGAACTTCCCAGAGACTCATACTCCAACCAAGGACTATTTGTGGAGATGACCTGGAACCCCTGCACAGGTATAACGCATGGCAGTTCAGTGTCCAAGTGGGTTACATAGTAATGGGAAGAGGGACTGCCTCTGACATAATCTGATTGGCCTGCTCGTTGATCACTTCCCCCTGAGGGGGGAGCAGCCTTACCAGGCCACAGTAGAGGACAATGCAGCCACTTTTGATGAGAACTGATAGACTAAGATCAGAAAGAAGGAGAGGAGGACCTCCCCTATCAGTGGACTTGGGGAGTGGCATGCATGCAGAAAGGGGAGGGAGGGTGGGATCGGCAGGGGAGGAGGGAGGGGTTTATGGGGATACAAAATGAATAAAGTGTAATTAATAAAAAAAAAAAAGATTTAAAAAAAAAAAAACACCTATGATTGCTGCTTAGCAAATAAACTTTCAGAGGAGTTACCCTAATGGGTAGTCAGTGGGAGATGTAGGGTAGAAGTCAGACCTCCTCAGAATGTGCTTATCTTTGGACTGTATAAATAAATAAATAAATAAATGAATGAATGAATGAATGAATGAATGAATGAATGAATAAATAAATAAATAAATAACAAGAGGAAATACTGATTAGATGATGAACATGTCCACTCCTTTAAAGCGCACTTGCAGACAGTCAGCACCAGAGACAATGATAACAAGACACAGACCCTGGCCCTCCAAAGCTTTCAGTCTATAGGAGAAATGAAAGTACATGTGCTAAATAGCATAGGGAATAGAGGCTGTGTAGACAACACTGAGCCGAGATCTCCCATTCCAGGGCATTTCCATAGCGTAGAGCCACCGAAGCCTCGGATAACTGCCATCAAGGTCTCTCAGGGGACTTAGGGAAGGTCCCTACTACAAGATTCCAGCTCCCAGAGACACATCAAGGAACTCACCCGTGATAGCAGCTGCAGTTTTGACTTGAACATGGTTCATAATTCTCCAAAGCCCTGTTAATTTGGTCAATAAATACTTTCCATTTTGAGCCTTCAAAAAGTGAAGGAAATGAGAGTTAACAAAATACCCTTGGCATTCGTATTTGCAAGCAGCAGGCAGAAGCAACAGAACACCAACACTTGGAGAAATCCCCTTCCTTTCCCAGCAGTGGAAACGAAATGCCAAGGATTCTTTGTGTAACTTGTCGGGGCTTGAGTCAAGTCTGCTCCTCTACCTAAGAAATTGGAAAAGGCACAAGCTTAATGTTTGGCCTTCAAATGGCTATGGATACACTGGAACTTCGACATACTGAGCCCCATAGCGCGAATCAATGCAAACTATTGGACATAACTCTCCCTCATCTGTTATGTCCAAACAGCTAGGAGCCTCCCTCTCTCCTGAAGGTGTTCTAGAGAGGCACAAAACAGCCTTCTGCGTTAAACAGGGAACATCTTTCCCTACCACCCCAAATTCTGGAGAGTGCGGGTTACTCTCCAGGGTCCAAGGCTAGAAGCAGAGGCCCACCATACACCTCTGCCCGCCCCTACCCGCAGTCCCTCCACCCCCTTCGCGCTGCAGCCGCACAGCATCCTCCGCGCGCGGGGGCGAGCGCCTAGGGACCCGAGCGGACCCCGAGACCCAGCGGCAGGCTCGGCCCTGCCCGGAGCCCACCTGACTCCTTCTGGCGGCCCTGCACCGGCAACAGGAGCACTAACAGCATCCACGGCCTAAGCCGACAGCCTGCCCGCCGCTCCATCACCGCACACCACTGCGGATTCAGATCCGCACGCCGGCGGAAGCGCGCCGCCCAGCACAGGGATGGCCGCAGGCGCCTCGGCACAAGGGAGCTGCCCTACACAAAGATGGCTGCAGAGCCCGCCCCCAGGGTTCCCGGAGCCAGGTTTGGGAAATGAGGCTCTGGAAGCCGGTCAGGATAGCACAGGAAACAGTGGTCAGTCCTTCCATTCGGTGACAAACTGAACAGGTAGTGTGCCTCTCGGTCCAGCTACAACAGAGCCTAGGTTAGGTCATCCTAGAACACCAAACCACTTATTTATTGAGCATGTGAATGGATCCATTCTGTTAGACCACAAAAGGGTGCAAATTGGTAGCTCAGGTCCTTCTGTAATAGGAACTTATAACAATGTAACAGATCGAGGGTGTTAAAAAATTTATAGTAAGCCCTTGTTTTGTACTGAGACCTGTAATATGTTCCAAAAGGCCATAGCAAACCAAAAAATATCAATAAGCAAATTGGACATTTTTTTTTCCAAAAGTTACATATTTTACCATTAAGTTCTTTTATTCTTGAGCCAGAGTGTTACTGTTATACCTCAGGCTGGTCTCTTGATCCTCTTGATCCTCATGCTCCTCTTGCCTCAGCTTCCAAAGTTTGTATGTACATGCCACCAGACCTTGCCAACCATAAACTGAACTTCAAACAGGTTAGTGCTCATTTGAAGTTCAGGAGACTCACAGCAACCAATCAAAAAACAGGGTCATACTGGAGAGATGGCTTGGTGACCGAGAGCACACACTGCTCTTACAGACAACCTGAGTTGAATTTTTCAATACTCACGTCCCATGGTGCACAATTGCCTGTAACTCCAGCTTCTCAGTGGGCACCTGCACTCCAGTGTAGCTACCCAAACACTGACACCTTTAAAAATAATGAAAAAATAAACCCTTTTTTAAAAAGAAAAGGCCAAAGCAACCTGGGCCAGTATGATTTTTTTTTTTTTTAAGTCTTCTATTTTAACACCCTGAGGAATGTAAGCTTCATTTTTGGTTGTTGATTTTTGAGCTTGCATTTAGTGTAACCTCCACTTGGCTAAACGTGTCCTTAAATTCCAGGCAGTGGTGAGCCTCCCTTTAACTCTAGTGCTTGGGAGGCAGAGGCAGAAGGATCTCTTTGAGTTCAAGGCTAGCCTGGCCTGCAAAGTGAATTCTAGGACAGCCAAGTTTACACAGAGAAACCCTGACTAGAAAAAATAAAAGAAAAAAGAAAAACAACAACAACAAAAGTATCTCAGCCAAGCACAGTAGCAAATGCCTATATTTCTAATAGTCTCAGCAGGACAGAAAGATGAAGAAGGAAGAGGAGGAGGAGCAGGAAGAAGAAGATGGCCATTTAAAGAACTAGAAGAGCCAGGCATGATGGCTTGTGCTTATAATTCCAGCACTCAGGATGCTGAGGCAGGAGGATTGCTGGGAGTTCTAGGCCAGCACTGACTACAGAGTAAAACCCTGTCTCAAAAATAAAGAAAAATAAGGGGCATAGGAGACGAAGAGGAAGGGAGGGAAGGGGGATTGAGAGGGGATGAGGGAGGAAGCTACAGCTGGGATACAAAGTGAATAAACTGTAATAAATAAATAAATATTTTTAAAATAATAAATAAAAATTAAAATAAGGACTGGAGAGATGGCTCAAGGTTAAGAACAATGTCTGTGTTCAATTCCCAGCAACCACGTGGTGGCTCACAATGAACTGGGGTCCAAGTATTCAAACATACAAGCCTATGGGGACCATTCTCATTTAAACCACCACAGCCTCCCCATCATTTAAAAGTTATCAGTGTGCGTGTGTACACCAGGGTGAAGGTGTGAGGTCAGAGGACAACTCTCAAGTCTTGTTTTTCTCCTTCCACATATGGGCCCTGGGTATCAAACTCAGGTTGTCAGGCTTTTTGGCAAGTACTTTTTTTTTTTTAAACCTGCTGAGCCATCTCGTCAGCCCCCAAATACTTTGTTTCATAGGTAAGATATGGCTAGACCCATGAACCACATGTAAAAAACAATTAGTTCTTTAAATTTGTTGAAAATGTGGGTGGTTTTCTTTTTTTCTTTGACAGTGGGTAATTCTATCCTGGGCAGTATTTATAAATCTATGTATTATTCAGATAGGCAGAATAGGTATTAAAATGTTCATATTGCTGAAAATGTATGTGATAACATCCTAGGAGGTATGAATGCAACACATGTATTCAAATACACATGTACACAATACGTGGGAATACCAAAATCAAATTTGTGCCTACAGAGAATTTAGAGTTAGTAGAGAAAATGAGTGCTGGCCCCAAGATCATTTATACTTTAAAGCAATGTATAAATGCTACTGGTTTCAGTATAGGAAAAAGCACATATGAACTGGAAATCTAGAGCAAGAGTTGCAGGAGGTGTTCTACAGTGGGAAAAAAAAAGAAATATTACAGTTAGTGAATTTGATGCTTGAGATACTAAAACATGAGAGCCAGAGTTCAGAGAGGGGGGAGTAAGGGTGTAGAATGCAGGCGGATGGTTGAATGCATGGGGGGAGGGGAAGAGTAGGATAAATTAACATTCATTAGTAAGCCTGGGTCATATCAGTCATGAGGTACTGTTTGGGTTACATTCCACAAAAGTGTAAAGTATTTGGTTTAGGGGTTAGAGAAACTCGCTTGGTGAGAAGAGACAAAAGGAAAAAGTGATTCCCTAACACTGTATCATATTATGCTTCCATGGGAATTCAAAACATGAAAAGAAATTTTTCCTTCTAACTCTAGAAGGGCATCTGGAGATTAAAAATCATTCATTAAAAGCATATGAATCACTTATATCATCACATCAAGTACATAGTTACATTAAAAGCACATAACTGACCAGGCGTGGTTGGCACATGCAAGGAGTACTGGCATTTGGGTGGCTGAATCAGGGGAGTAGCCAGAAGTAATAATAAAAACAAAGCTAGCGGGTAGAGAAGTGGCCCAGTGGTTAAGAACGCTCATTGCTCTCCCAGAGGGCCAGGCATCAGTTTCTGGCATCAACAGGGAAGGAGAGTGCTTGGCTCACAAATTTGTGACTCTAGCCCCAGGGCATCTAATGCCATCTTCTGGCCTCCACAAGTATACATACATATGGCATACACACATACGAATAAATCAAATCTTTAAAAAAAAAACAATAATAGCAAAATTAGCTTTAAAAAAAAGTGTTGCAGTAAAAATAGTCTCTTTATCACCTGCACCCCAACCCCTCCTCCCTCCAAGAATAAACAAGGAGCTCTTCCTGGGTGTCTTACGTAGGGCTTCTATTGCAGTGCTATAACACCATGACCAAAAGCAACTTGGTGAGGGAAAGGTTATTTCATCTTACTCTTCCAGGTCATGGCCCATCACACAGGGAAGGCAGAGCAGGAACCCGGAGGCAGGAACAGAAGCAGAAGATATGGAGGGGTGTTGCTTATTGGCATGCTCCTCCTGGCTTACCAGTTTGTTTTCTTGTACATCTTAGGGTGACCTGCCTAAGAGTAGCACCACCTGTACTGGCTTGGCTCTCCCACATCCCATTGGCTTGCCCATAGGCCAATCTGGTGATGGCATTTTTCTCAATTGAAGTTCCCTCTTCCCAAATGACTCTAGCTTGTGTCGAGTTGGCACACTGCGATTGCTGATAAAGTGATTTTATTAAATTAAAACTATGCCAGGCATTGTGGTACATGCCTGTAATCCCAGCAGTGAGAGACAGAGGCAGGAGGATCAGACCTTTAAGAGTAGCTTGATCTTTATGTGACCCTCTCCCCCTCGACACACCAAAAAAAATTTAATCTGGGGCTGTTGAAACAGCTTACTGGGTAAAGGTGTGTGCTGCCTGCTGAGTTCATTTCCAAGGATCCATCCGCGGAAGGAAAGAATCAATTGCCACAAGTTGTCCTTCACACGTGCAAAAGGAATAAGACATAGTTTATCCTGGAGCCATGGCCCTACGTACATGGATTGAGCTTACCCCATATACCATGTGCCAATGCAGTAATCATTTCAGGAAGTTTTTATAGTTACAAATCAAACCAAAAAAATCGTGAATCTAGGCTTTTTTTTTTTTTTTTTTTTCAAATACATTGGTGGAACTATCAGGTTCCACATTGGTCGGTAACATTGGTAGGTCACAGCAAAGCTAAGAAATCTCTGCTACAGGTTTTAGTTGTTATCTGCTGATATTCTTTGCTTTTGGGTTGGTGGAAGTTCATGCTCTGCTAATATAGCCTAAAAAGTTTCAAATGATAGTCACAAAAATGGTAGATTAGCTGGGTGTCATGGTGCCTGCCTTTAATCCCAGCACTGGGGAGGTAGAGTCAGGCAGATCGCTGTGAGTTCGAGGTCTACAAAGTGAGCTGAGGACAGCTGAGGCTACACAGAGAAACCCTGTCTAGAAAAACAAAAAGAAAGAAAAAGAGAGAAAGAAAGAAAGAGAGAGAGAAAAAGAAAGAAAGAAAGAAAGAAAGAAAGAAAGAAAGAAAGAAAGAAA